ATAGGTGAGATCGTCACCAATAATATGAAACAATTTTCACAACGATACGACCAACCATTCCGGAGATATTGCGAAACAGGCACTTCCACCAACAATTTTAAAATTTTCTTTGTTTCGTCTGATAGGTGAGATCGTCACCAATAATATGAAACAATTTTCACAACGATACGACCAACCATTCCGGAGATATTGCGAAACAGGCACTTCCACCAACAATTTTAAAATTTTCTTTGTTTCGTCTGATAGGTGAGATCGTCACCAATAATATGAAACAATTTTCACAACGATACGACCAACCATTCCGGAGATATTGCGAAACAGGCACTTCCACCAACAATTTTAAAATTTTCTTTGTTTCGTCTGATAGGTGAGATCGTCACCAATAATATGAAACAATTTTCACAACGATACGACCAACCATTCCGGAGATATTGCGAAACAGGCACTTCCACCAACAATTTTAAAATTTTCTTTGTTTCGTCTGATAGGTGAGATCGTCACCAATAATATGAAACAATTTTCACAACGATACGACCAACCATTCCGGAGATATTGCGAAACAGGCACTTCCACCAACAATTTTAAAATTTTCTTTGTTTCGTCTGATAGGTGAGATCGTCACCAATAATATGAAACAATTTTCACAACGATACGACCAACCATTCCGGAGATATTGCGAAACAGGCACTTCCACCAACAATTTTAAAATTTTCTTTGTTTCGTCTGATAGGTGAGATCGTCACCAATAATATGAAACAATTTTCACAACGATACGACCAACCATTCCGGAGATATTGCGAAACAGGCACTTCCACCAACAATTTTAAAATTTTCTTTGTTTCGTCTGATAGGTGAGATCGTCACCAATAATATGAAACAATTTTCACAACGATACGACCAACCATTCCGGAGATATTGCGAAACAGGCACTTCCACCAACAATTTTAAAATTTTCTTTGTTTCGTCTGATAGGTGAGATCGTCACCAATAATATGAAACAATTTTCACAACGATACGACCAACCATTCCGGAGATATTGCGAAACAGGCACTTCCACCAACAATTTTAAAATTTTCTTTGTTTCGTCTGATAGGTGAGATCGTCACCAATAATATGAAACAATTTTCACAACGATACGACCAACCATTCCGGAGATATTGCGAAACAGGCACTTCCACCAACAATTTTAAAATTTTCTTTGTTTCGTCTGATAGGTGAGATCGTCACCAATAATATGAAACAATTTTCACAACGATACGACCAACCATTCCGGAGATATTGCGAAACAGGCACTTCCACCAACAATTTTAAAATTTTCTTTGTTTCGTCTGATAGGTGAGATCGTCACCAATAATATGAAACAATTTTCACAACGATACGACCAACCATTCCGGAGATATTGCGAAACAGGCACTTCCACCAACAATTTTAAAATTTTCTTTGTTTCGTCTGATAGGTGAGATCGTCACCAATAATATGAAACAATTTTCACAACGATACGACCAACCATTCCGGAGATATTGCGAAACAGGCACTTCCACCAACAATTTTAAAATTTTCTTTGTTTCGTCTGATAGGTGAGATCGTCACCAATAATATGAAACAATTTTCACAACGATACGACCAACCATTCCGGAGATATTGCGAAACAGGCACTTCCACCAACAATTTTAAAATTTTCTTTGTTTCGTCTGATAGGTGAGATCGTCACCAATAATATGAAACAATTTTCACAACGATACGACCAACCATTCCGGAGATATTGCGAAACAGGCACTTCCACCAACAATTTTAAAATTTTCTTTGTTTCGTCTGATAGGTGAGATCGTCACCAATAATATGAAACAATTTTCACAACGATACGACCAACCATTCCGGAGATATTGCGAAACAGGCACTTCCACCAACAATTTTAAAATTTTCTTTGTTTCGTCTGATAGGTGAGATCGTCACCAATAATATGAAACAATTTTCACAACGATACGACCAACCATTCCGGAGATATTGCGAAACAGGCACTTCCACCAACAATTTTAAAATTTTCTTTGTTTCGTCTGATAGGTGAGATCGTCACCAATAATATGAAACAATTTTCACAACGATACGACCAACCATTCCGGAGATATTGCGAAACAGGCACTTCCACCAACAATTTTAAAATTTTCTTTGTTTCGTCTGATAGGTGAGATCGTCACCAATAATATGAAACAATTTTCACAACGATACGACCAACCATTCCGGAGATATTGCGAAACAGGCACTTCCACCAACAATTTTAAAATTTTCTTTGTTTCGTCTGATAGGTGAGATCGTCACCAATAATATGAAACAATTTTCACAACGATACGACCAACCATTCCGGAGATATTGCGAAACAGGCACTTCCACCAACAATTTTAAAATTTTCTTTGTTTCGTCTGATAGGTGAGATCGTCACCAATAATATGAAACAATTTTCACAACGATACGACCAACCATTCCGGAGATATTGCGAAACAGGCACTTCCACCAACAATTTTAAAATTTTCTTTGTTTCGTCTGATAGGTGAGATCGTCACCAATAATATGAAACAATTTTCACAACGATACGACCAACCATTCCGGAGATATTGCGAAACAGGCACTTCCACCAACAATTTTAAAATTTTCTTTGTTTCGTCTGATAGGTGAGATCGTCACCAATAATATGAAACAATTTTCACAACGATACGACCAACCATTCCGGAGATATTGCGAAACAGGCACTTCCACCAACAATTTTAAAATTTTCTTTGTTTCGTCTGATAGGTGAGATCGTCACCAATAATATGAAACAATTTTCACAACGATACGACCAACCATTCCGGAGATATTGCGAAACAGGCACTTCCACCAACAATTTTAAAATTTTCTTTGTTTCGTCTGATAGGTGAGATCGTCACCAATAATATGAAACAATTTTCACAACGATACGACCAACCATTCCGGAGATATTGCGAAACAGGCACTTCCACCAACAATTTTAAAATTTTCTTTGTTTCGTCTGATAGGTGAGATCGTCACCAATAATATGAAACAATTTTCACAACGATACGACCAACCATTCCGGAGATATTGCGAAACAGGCACTTCCACCAACAATTTTAAAATTTTCTTTGTTTCGTCTGATAGGTGAGATCGTCACCAATAATATGAAACAATTTTCACAACGATACGACCAACCATTCCGGAGATATTGCGAAACAGGCACTTCCACCAACAATTTTAAAATTTTCTTTGTTTCGTCTGATAGGTGAGATCGTCACCAATAATATGAAACAATTTTCACAACGATACGACCAACCATTCCGGAGATATTGCGAAACAGGCACTTCCACCAACAATTTTAAAATTTTCTTTGTTTCGTCTGATAGGTGAGATCGTCACCAATAATATGAAACAATTTTCACAACGATACGACCAACCATTCCGGAGATATTGCGAAACAGGCACTTCCACCAACAATTTTAAAATTTTCTTTGTTTAGTCTCATAGGTGAGATCGCCACCAATAATATAAAACAATTTTCACAACGATACGAACAACCATTCCGGAGATATTGCGAAACAGGCACTTACACCAACAATTTTAAAATTTTCTTTGTTTAGTCTCATAGGTGAGATCGCCACCAATAATATAAAACAATTTTCACAACGATACGAACAACCATTCCGGAGATATTGCGAAACAGGCACTTACACCAACAATTTTAAAATTTTCTTTGTTTAGTCTCATAGGTGAGATCGCCACCAATAATATAAAACAATTTTCACAACGATACGAACAACCATTCCGGAGATATTGCGAAACAGGCACTTACACCAACAATTTTAAAATTTTCTTTGTTTAGTCTCATATTTCATAGTTTATTTCAAATTTTTTGTGAAGTTTTTTTGATTTCCTCTTCTTTTTGCGGTTGCGTTTTTTGTTTTTTGATTTATAACGTTTTGTTTTACGTTAATGATTTTTTGTTTGTTTTTCCTTTTTTTACTTTCTGCGTATGGTTTTTTTTAGTTTTGCCTTAACGTGTATTTACGTATCTTTATTTTTATCAATACTTCATTGTAGCATAATATAAATCACCATCAATTATATATCTCTTTATTCCATCGGCATTGTCTTTTGACCATATTATTTTCAATCTTCTCACCAGGCTGAAAGCGCATGTTCATGTATCCGCACCAGGTCACGAGTGGGAAAGCCGTGCTTAAGATGCCCTGCAATCGCAGCCGGGTTAGATCAGATGATCCTCGATATATTTATTGCCTATCAAATATATCTTTGAATCTCCTCGCTTCTGTCTTTTGATTTCACTCGGTTGGTACGATTCATATTATGTGTTACTGGTTAAAGTGTTGTCATACTTCAAATACCTGTCTTATCTTCAGAATCATCCATTTCTCCTAACTCTGTTTGCAGACTCTCGTTAATGACAGTGAAACTTCGCGATCTTCATAAAAATGTGTAACGAACAGCTTTTCGTTATTATTCTCCGTCGTCCTTTGTCCTGCCAATAAATGTCTTTATTTCTAAATCCAATCTGCTTTGTTCAAAGGATTACTTTTTAGTGAAGGTGGAGGCAAACGTGATAAAAGTTAAGGGTTAGCACCATAGAATTTTCTGTGGAATCTGCCTAAGAGGATGCAAAACATAGCGAAAATGGCATGTATTTGGGCGTAAAATAGACATTTCGGTAAAATGTGATATATACAGAGACAAACGGCTGGACAACGTGAGACGTTTTTGGTTACGTTTACTCTTTATTTGTTCATTTTTTTCACAGGAATGTTCATTTTATTTCGCCTGCTTTAGTTGCTCTGAAAAGTCACAAATCTCCATCATCTTGAAATTGTCTGTTTTCTTGGAATTGAAACAGAAGGCATGGCAAAAAAACTTGGAGAAATTTTACTGCGCTAAAAAAAGAATCTCATTCATATTCTCAAGTAAAGAATTGAGAATTGAATAAACAGGCACACCGCGCTAGTGGTTGTTTTAAAAATCTTTGCAACGGTTTGTGCTTCATTTCGTGTAGTGTTTGGCATTGTGATTGTATGGTTCACTTGAATAGTGCATTAGAAACAAGTTATAAACATCATTTTTTTTGTCTCCGTCTGGTTCAAACACTTCATTTGTTGGTAGACGGATTAAAAGCTTTCACGGTGAGACTACAATTTACGGATGAATCAGTCATATGTAAGATTACATGTCTGCAATTTTGGTGCGAAATTCATCCATCCATTTGGCTGAATAGCGTTTCGTTATTTCGGCTTTGTCAGTTTCGCAATTGAAACAAAATCTAATTTCACATACAGGTTAGTAGGTAGACAACCCCAAGGTCACTAGCGTCGCTGAAACGTCGTCCATGAATTGTGGTCTTACCATTTTCGCTTAATGAGCTTACGTATCTAGGAGTAGTACATAACCAGTGACCCCAGGTTGTTTCTAATTTCTGAGTGTTACCGAGCCTAAGCATATGCCTAAGTGGGTGCCCAGGAGTAATTAGAATTCTATGTCATTAAATCACCTTTAAGACACCTATACTTCAGTGGGTAGATATTCAGTAATTTGGAGTGCTCTTCATTACGTTTGAGCTTGGGTCCCGGGACTGATTTTATGGCTCGCTTTGGTATTCAATGAAGTGTGTTTTTGTCCTTTTGAAGTGAGGATTGGAACACTATACTTCCATACCCTAAATGGGGTCAGATAAAACTTAAAGAAAAAGTTAAAGTTATGCAGTCAAACTGCCTAAAATGGGTTTCGAATTTATCAGTGCAAGGTTTGTTTGAACGGCGTTTTTGCTTCAGTTATCGTAAAACTAGGTCATAGGGTATCAAGACTCCTAGGTCTCTTGCGATCTGGGATGCCCATAAAGGGGAGTTACCTAAGTTGTGTGCGTAGTCTGTAACATGCCTCAGATGAACCAGTATGCACTTTGAAGTTCTATGAGTCGGTTGTTATCCGCCCAGCTTTACGGTCTATTCAGATCATCCTGAAGTGCCAGCTTTTCGTCTTGGTTGGAAACTGTGTAAAATTTTAAAGTCTGGTTCATCTTGTTTCTTCCTCAGATTCTTGTCTGTCAATACTGTCAACCTTCACTTCTTCTTGGAATTAATTCTTTCAGCACTGACCGATTTCAGTAGTCACATATCGAGAAAGTAGACAGATGCGAGAAATCAGATCAACTCATTTTTTGTACGGTGATATACATGTTTCTATAGATCTGTAATATGAACACAACTTTACTACCTCAATCTCACCGGAACCTCCCATTAAGCACGTGGGATTGATTATGAACAATCATTCTGTTGATCATATAGGTTGAAGTGAATAACTACACACGCTAGGATCGTATGTGCGCTTACTGGCATTTTAGTTTTGAACTGCAAACCCTTTTGCTATATTTAATAGGATTTACTTATAAAAAACGTACTGTAGAGTGATAAAGATGCTAAACTAAAATCATAACAGTAAACTAGGGTTTTAAAACTTCGCAAATCGAATTTTATTTGTTGAAGTTTGCAGAATAAAAGGAATCATGGGTTTCCTAAGCTTTCACTACAATCTTATTTTTGCATAAACAGGGCGTGAAAAATCCAACAATCGCGATAGCTTCTCGTCTCAAGATTCCTAGTTTCATAAGCTCTAGCATTTGGATGGATTATTATTATTCGATATAGTTGGGTCAGGGATTGAGGACCCCATCTCTTCCCTTGGTTTACATGTCAGACGACTAATTCGGTAGTTCATTCAAAAGTATTTCCAAAATTATATACATAGACGGGATGGGATTCTGCTTTTTCTGTTGAGTAGTCATCAGTTACTGTTAGAATTCTCTCTTACGGTTATAACCCAGCTATTCCTATTGCTTAGTATTCTCAGACACCGACTCACTCGACAAGTCCCCCAAATCAGAACACGGCTGAACAGGAAAAGAGATTATATTCCAAGTAACAAGGTTAGATGGAAGTAAGAAGCACAATAGGAAAAACGTTAGTATATTTATAGTTTTCACATGAGAAGGTTCCTAGTGTTCACTAAGTACTGCATTAGCCAATCAGCGTGCACCAAAGCAATCGTGCATTGAACCTGCTTTAATCCAGTCTATGTCCCGCCAACAGTTACACTAAATGGTATTAATGTATTCGATATATGCGTTTAAGTAGAGACGGGTTCTACCCAATAATCCTTACGTTGATTGTCACCTGAAACCGGTGAGACTAAAATGACTACGTTGTTAAACCACTTCCTGCCTCATCAATACACCTTTTATTAGCCGAAGATATTAACTATCATATTTCCTTTGTTTGTTATTAAGCAAAAAGCCTAGTTTTCGTTAAGGGGATCACTAGATACTGTTATCCATTTCCCTTAGGTTTTAGTTTATTTCCTGGGTATCTAAAACACATCCTGTAGGAATTCGTTGTGCGAATTACCCGGTATTTACACAAGTTAGTTGTTGGTATAATGTCAGATCAGTTTATGCTTATTAACTGATCTTATTTTTAGTTTCGTTATCTGAATGGTCTTACAACTCAGGAATCTATATTTGTGCATAATTTCAAAATATATTGCTTAATTGAACACCATGCACTTCAATTTTGTAGATGTCACCTGTCGAAGAACAACAGGGCGATAAACCCATTCAACCTAAAATTGGTATAATATATCCTCCACCTGAAGTAAGGAATATCGTCGATAAAACGGCGAGTTTTGTAGCACGTAATGGTCCAGACTTTGAATCTCGTATTCGTCAAAATGAGATCAGTAATCCAAAGTTCAATTTTCTGAATCCAGCTGATCCATACCACGCGTATTATCAACACAAAGTTCGAGAGTTTGCTGAAGGGAGAACACCAGAACCTGCTGCTCTAAAATTAACTATTCCTAGTGCTGCTCGTCTTGCTCAGGATACTCCAAAATCGATTCAAGAAACATTTACACCCAAGGATCCACCAGCTGAATTTGAATTTGTTTATGATCCACCTTCTATTAACGCAGTTGATATTGACATAATAAAACTTACAGCACAATTTGTTGCAAGAAATGGTCGACAATTTTTAACTCAGTTAATGAATCGAGAACAGAGAAATTATCAGTTTGACTTTCTCCGTGCTCAGCACAGTATGTTTGGTTATTTTACAAAACTTGTGGAACAATACACTAAAATCTTAATACCACCTAAAGACGTTGTTTCGAAATTGGAGGACGAGTTAGAGAAACCGAAACAGCTGCTTGACGATGTAAAATATAGGGTTGAGTGGCATAAGTATCAAGAACGTCAGCGTAAGCGTGAGGAGGAGGCTGCAGAACGTGAACGTGTGGCGTACGCAATGATTGATTGGCATGATTTCGTGGTTGTTGAAACAGTTGACTTTCAACCAAATGAAGCAGGCAATTTCCCTCTACCGACTACTCCTGATGAAGTTGGAGCACGCTTACTAGCTGAAGAACGTGGTCTTCAGCCTCCTTCAAAGCCGTCAGCCCCTCCACCCCCCGGTTCACTTGGATTAATGCCAACTGATATAGATGAAGATGATACAAGTGACCAAGAATTAGATGAATCAGAAGATGAAAATGAAGCTTCTGGGCTTTCTCAACCTAAGGGCCAGGGTTTGATCAATCACAGCCCTCTACCATATCCTGATGAGACAGAAAATCGGGTTACTGATGATATCCCAACCCCACCTGCTGTTAATATGACTGATATAGCTGGAGAAGATGATATGGAGTTATCAGATGATGAGAATATTGCTGAAGAACTCGTTCAGCAAAACAAAGTATCAGCAAAACAGGTACCATTATCTTCTGATCAAGTCATTATTCGACATAACTACGACCCAAAAGCTACAAATATTAGAAGAGCAGAGGATTCTGTGCTTTTAGTATCACCTTTCACTGGCGAGAAGATTCCTGCTAACCAAGCTCCAAAACATATTAAGGTTGGGCTACTCGATCCTAAGTGGGTCGAACAGCGTGATCGAGAGATTCGCGAGAAACGTGAACAAGAACAAGTTTATGCTGCGGGAAATCTGATTGATAGTAGCTTAAAGCAGCTTGCTGAGCGTCGCACAGACATTTTCGGTGTAGGAGTTGATGAAATTCAGATTGGCAAGAAATTAGGAGAACAGGAAATAGTCAAGTCTGATAAGCTAGTTTGGGATGGTTACTCTGTTACTACAGATGTTGTTGCCAAAAGAAACTTAGAAGCGGTTACTGTTAAAGATAAGCTAGATTTATTAGAGTTCCAACAGAAATTGGATTCTGCTCGCGATAAGATTGGTCCTCAAAGCGGGGTGCTCCCTGCTCTAGGCATTATCCCTCCGGTACTGCATAAGCCGACAATCTTGTTGCCACCACCATCAATGCAAGGTGGAGTTACACAACCTCCACCGCCCCCACCCCCTCCCGGCCTTGTAATGCTTTCCAGTGCGCCACCACCATTACCACCAGGTCTATTTCCTCCCGGGATGCCACCTCCACCCGGCATAGCTATACCGAGTTTCATGCCTCCACATCCACCCATCCCACCACCACCACTTCCACCTCCAACACCTGCTAATGATGGAGAACCGGAAGCAAAAAGACCGAGAGAATAGTTGAGTAATATTGGTCAATAAGTGTACTTTTGCCCCTTTACCTTTGTATCAACTAGCTACTATCTCAAATATATTTTCCCATGTTTCAATGGTTTTATTTATATTAATTTGTTATTCTCCGTTAGTCTTTTTCACAGTAGTCTTTGATATCCAGTTACTCGTTGCAGTATGCTGTGTATATTGTAAACGACTTATAGTGACGAATTCACACTGATACACGACTTCATTGATTGTCATTAGTTCAAAGTAATCCATATTAAAAGTAGGAGGATTCGCTTTTTATTTTTATGGGATACGAATCCAAAGTTGTAATAAACTTGATGATTAGTTTCTGCTGTTGTCCTTTTTATAGTATTTTCATTAGATTTGTGTATATGTTTGTTGTAAGTATCAATCTGTCATTTAATTATCAGACACAACAAGTTCTATCTATGATACAAATAAGTCAACTACATCGTTATCTTTTCATGATGAAGTAATTGAAGGTATTGTGTGATGTGATAATGTTAAAGCGCTTTATTTAGTTGATTAATACTCCATTAAACACTTGAGAAATAGGTTGAAAACGTCCAATCCTGAAATGCGATCATTGCTCTTCTAGCTTGTCGATTGTATGGTATTTTTTGAAGAACGAGATGGATAAATGTTAATGATTGATATAAATACTAATGTTATTGATTGTGCGACTGACTCTGGCAGTATCGCGGAAGTCTATGTTAAAATTGTGATATTGTATGTGTACTAGATGAAATGCCCTGGTACGGCCGAGGGTAGGGAGAGTCCGCTCTCCTTCTCGAAACGCTCTCACATGGCCACGCGTATATAGCCTCTACCGGGCAAGTCCTACTCACTGCCTTCTCGTGGCAGGGCTGTTTACGAAAATGAGAGGACGAAAAGCGAATGTCCGGCGCTTTAACCGGATTCCAAACCGATGGTGCACATGGGCTCCAGTATCCTGCGGGAACAAATGGCGTATGAACCAATTGTTCGTCACCGGCTTCCATGGGACTGCATTTCCTTACGATGCTCCACTGCCTTGTGGGTTAGACCTTCAGGTCGAAGGCTCGGGATGTGGCCCCCTAAGAAAACCACCTGTTTCGTTTTGGGCACCCGGGCAGTATTACAGCCCTCACACATCGAATGAGATTTGTGTGGCGCATATATATTAGGTGCCTCCTTGTACCAATATCTATGTGTTAAAATAAATAAACTAGATGAAATCGTATCGTTTGGTTAGAATCCAACTGTGTTCACTTGATTTTTTTCCTAGTAACATAGAGTATTTTTAAGAAGTATATTACTTAGTTATGTGATAAGAAAAGTCTAATACATTCTCAGTAATTTCAAAGATGTAAATAACATTATAAGACGCGATTTCAATAAATGGAAATCATAATTGATGAAATTTTAGAACTGATATTGCTAGTCTCTCGTTACATTTCAGTTGTGGTAGTAACTTTTTTCCTTTGAGTATGATGATTAAACATAGAATACAATCTTTTCTGATTGTCATCCACTTTTTGTCTTTGAATATACGTCGAAGTACTGTTTAGTGCAATTAATGAACATAAACGAGTGATAGTTATATGGTTGCAGTTAGCTGTTGGATTATTGTACGTGCTCATTTAGTTGTAGTCTTGCTTTATATTTATTCACATTGAAACAGTCAACAAGGCAATTACTGACAAGTGAAAGTTCAAAATATTTTGTATATCTATTTGCTATAGCCTGAACTAATTTATTCTGCAAGACATAGTTGTGATGGCTAGAAAAAACATTTGGAATGGTAGTTAATTAAAAGTTTTCCAGATTGTCTAGTCCTAGAAAACATCGTTTCCAATACTGTCCACCTTATTCTACAAATACAGTATGTAACAAAAACTTCCGAGGTCACCACAATCGGTTATTACACAGCTCATACTTAACGAATCTGAACTTCTTTCTTGGATATTAAGATGATTTATTGAGCCTTTATAAGCTAGGACGGTCGAGATTTCATTATGATCACTCACTGTTTATTTGTTCACGAAATTTTGCTTAAAATAAGGGTGGGGTTATAGCTTTATTTTGGTCAGATATTGGATCTGTGTGTGGCTATCATTGATCGTTATTAAGTAGAGTTATGAGTCACATAAATCCATACTTGTAGGGGTTACCCGACCGTAGCTGCTACCTTGATGCTGTGGTCGGGCTTGCCTACCGTGATGACCCAATCGGTTGGCTGGAACATATGTTCCTGTAGGTTCTACCATGTCAACCAGATCGATTGGAGAACGGTAAGACTAAAAGCAGCAACTCAAGGTCTGAGGGCGAACTCGTAAAGCTGAGTGTAGAGGGGTGTGACAACAGTAAGGTGTTTCCATTGGGCAACCAGCATCTGCAGCGATACTGCTTTCTCACAGGGAAGGAAGGGGTTAGAAAAGGTCGACCCTAAAAATGTCACACCTCACGGATTCCCGTCTCTGGCAGTAAGGCCCTTTGAAGAACGGAGCTAACACGTCAAAAACCTCCCACAAGAAGGCCGTGCGCGACCGGCCTCAAGCAGTTGTCCCTTGGGCTCTGTGGTCACGCTCCCAGGTCGTTAAGACCAACACTAATCCAACTTCCCTTTAAGGTGGTTCCTTAAGAAGTACCCTTCTACGGTGTGGCCAGCCGGGAAGTGATATGACCCCTCATACCCCTAACAGTAGACGAGGTCAAGTTGGTCACAATCAAATCCTTCCTACACCTCCTAATAACTCTATCATCTCCACCGCCAACCCTTCTCACGTTACTTTATCATCCCGCACCGCTAGTGAAAACGATTCGAGTACGCGGAACGTTATTCTCGGTCTTCTGAAACTACGTTCTAAACTACATGTAGGAGATTTTAAAGTCCGAACACTGTGCCAAATAGGACAACAGGCTTCCTTAGCTAGGATTTTTAAATCTCGCGCCACCGATGTGTACTACGTCTCCGTAACGCTTATACAGAATCAGAGTAGCGTCGTTCATTTGACCTCACCATATCAAAATAATCATCTCGATTCACACTTCATGTATCTCGAAGCCCCGATGCTGCTTCCCGTGGCCTCGCTGGCGTAGGTATAGCATTGAGTCCTAGGGTAGAACTAGCTCTCTTAGATTGGATCTCAGTAGACAGTCGTTTATGCACTGTCCGACTAAACGGAACAGTTAGGACTCGGAAAAGTAAGGACACTCGTTGTCTCTGCCTACTCTCCCACTGACTGCAGCTCAGATGATGTAAAAGATGAGCTGTACAGAAAGCTTTCCGACCTCCAAAAAGTTAGGCGCTCCGATGCAGTAATAGTGGCTGGTGACTTTAATGCTCAAGTAGGTAAACTAAGCGAAAAGGAAAGACACCTGGGTGAACCTCATGGTGTCGTGACTCAAAGAACAGATAATGGCGACCGTCTGTTGCAGCTATGCTCAGATAACCGCCTGTTTCTTGCAAATACTAGCTATTAGCATAGGGAAAAACACCTTTTGGCATGGCAACCCCTGATCACACCGCCATCAGACACCGATGGAGAAGGTCGATAGAAGACTGTCGGTCGTTCTGGAACACATGATTGGATTCAGATCATGTTCTAGTGCGAGCGCGTATTTGTCTGCGTCTTACTGAACGTAGGAAAGACACTGCAAGGAAACCTCCTAGGGTCCTACTTAATCATAGCCAAGCTAGGAATATATTTCAGGAACAACTAGGAAAAGTTAGGCAGCCATGTAAGTAATGCCCGTCCCGAGGCAGCGCGGAATGATATCCGGAAAGCTGTGGGAACAACACTGATATCTGCTAGTAAGGTAAACCATAAGGTTAGGGAGAAACACGGGATCTCAGCAGCATCCACCGCACTGATAGATGCTCGAAAACTCGTCCCATCTGGCTCTGAACATGACGAAGAGCGGAGTCAGCTTAAGCGCAGGCTGATAAGAAGCCTACGCAATGATCGCGAACAGTGGTGGGCAATAGACAACAGCAGACAACTATTCAGGCTTGTCAAGGAAACCGGTGTTAAGAATCCAACTGTTAGCGAAACTATCTTGGAAAAAGATGGACATATTATTCACTCTCAATCCAGGAGATTGGATCGATGGGCAGAACACTTTAGGGATCAGTTCAACTGGCCTTCAGCCACATTTCAGTTTCCCAAGATCTCCAGTCGACCTGAATGGCGAGTTCTCCAGCTCTTTACGAAGTTTAAAAAGCTATAGGAAATCTGAAGCGTGGGAGAACAGCAGGCCCTGACAGGTTTACCCCTAAGATTTATAAGGATGGAGGTCCAGTATTGGCAGTGAGATTGACTGAACACATAAATATTGGTAAAAAGAGGCACAATATATATACATATATATATGCGCCACATAATAATAATTATAATGAGAATGAAGATATAACGAATGTAAGGTGCGTATAAGAAAACGGGGGACAATAACGAATAGGAATTAGTGCATGAGAGTGAAATAATAATAATAATAATGTGAGAGACAGCTCAATCAGTAAAAGTACAGTCACAGAGAATTCTGCCACTTAAAGAAGTTACGTATTTTTTATGAAGGAAGTAAATAAAGTTACAGCATGATCGCCACTGGCTTCCATTCTGAGCCATATTTGATAACGCCTCTATCCACTGTGTTGCACCATCTTTAAGTCCCCACCAGGGGGTCATCAAGAACTGATAGAAGCCAGTCCTGTACCGCTTTCTTTCATACCGCGACAACATACACTGACCACCTCTCCGCTCTTTCCAACCAGTCTCAGCGTCGGCAAATAATGCACGACGTGGAATTCTCTAGGACGACATTCGTAGAACATGTCCAAGCCACCGCAGTCGATGTTTCAAGATGGTGACACCAATTGAATTATCGTCTCTGTTCCCGAACACACGATGCCGAACCTCTGCATTACTAACATGGTGCTACCACTGGATGTCAGCAATCCTTCGGAGACAATGATGATTAAACACAGAGAGTCGTCTAGCATCCTCAACTCGGAGGCCAGGTTTCACAAGCATAGAGCAAAACCACTCTCACCGACTAGCATCAGGAAGGCGCCAAAGATGGCCCAGATTGACATAAGCCGCTCTGGCTTTAACTATACGTGCATTGATCTCATCACTCATGCCACCACCAGCACTTATGCGGCTACCCACTATGTCAGGTTCTAGAACACATACACATATTCAGACGCCCCACAATAGCAGTATTTCTCGACCTTAAGGCAGCACTCGACTCTGGTGATCGTGAGGTTCTATGTCAGTGTTTGTCACCGAAAGGAGTACCAAAGAAGTACATTAACCTTGTAAAGGCTCTCTACTCGAACACAAGTGGTCGAGTGAGAGCTTATGGCGAACTGTTATTAGAATTGATTACCTCAAGTGGTGTTCGTCAGGGCTGTCCACTCTCCCCATTCTTGTTCAACTTTGTCATTGACGTACTTTCAGAGATAACACTCTCCTCATCTAAATTTACAGGGGTTGAACTTCTACCGGGCGATTCACTTGTTGACTTGGAATATGCCGATGACATAGTTCTGTTTGGTGAAGACGCTGTCAAAATGCAGTCTTCTGGCTACTGTAAGCAACAATACAAGCATGTTCGGGATGCGATTCTGCCCCTCGAAGTGCAAAATGTTACTTCCGGATTGGATTGCATCGACACCCGAACTAATGATAGGAAGTGAAGTAGTTGAGCGTGTCGACCGCTTCACTTATCTTGGGAGTCTCATCAGCCCTTGTGGTCTGGTGTGTGACGAAATCTCAGCACGGATACGGAAGGCTCGACTAGCTTTTGCCAACTTGCGTCATTTATGGCGTAGGCGAGACATCCGTAGGTTACTAGTATTTGATCATAGGTGTCTTCGAAACATTGCTCGTATATCCTGGGACCATCGAGTAAGTAACGCAGTTGTTAGGAAAAGGGTACTAGGTAAGGATGGCAAATCAATTGACGAAGTAGTGAAACTTCATCAGTTGAGATGGCTGGGACACATATTACGTATGCCCAATCACCGACTGCCTCGACGAGCGATGTTTTGTGTTGTAGGAATAGTTTGGAAGAAAGCTAGAGGCGGCCAGACCAGAACATAGCACGAGTCCATGAAGTCACTGACAAGTGGACTGAGTCATGTTGGTAGGTGTAGACTACCTGGTGGGGGACCGAGAGATGATAGCAACCGATGGTTAAAGACCCTGAATGACATGGCTCAAAATCGTTTGCAGTGGCGCAGGTGTATCCACTCTTTGTGTTCTCCTAAATTCTAATCTCCTGAATCCTCCTTGTCTCTTTTTCTCTTTCCCAATTTATTTCACTGGCTTATACTCTTTAAATAACATCTTCAAACCCTAATGTTTCCGATTACTGCTTATAATATTACTACCTCTACCAGTACGGGATTTGAATCGACAACTGCATCTCTGTGCTAATGTGGTGTGGCAACTCGAACTGACGTTTGTACGTACGAAGTTCTACGTTGTTACTGACTGACTGGTTGTAGGGGTTAGTTTAGGTTTGCATGGTAAAGACTTATACGTTACTTGTCTTCCTTTAACAAACATATATTTCCTATCCTACAAATATTGTAGGTGGGTAACAGAAGGGGTTACATGTATTCAGCGTACTTATCTTCAAAGCATTTATTGTGGAAGATTGATTACAATAAGTTAGGATATTTTTTGATCAGTAAATATATTGCAAAAAGTTGAACATGATTTAATCAAGGCAGTACTAATTCGTAAGTTTAGTCGCTGCAGGGTTTTTTGTTTTCTTTATGACTACATTTTTATTTTTGATGACGTTATCGTTAGTAAGTGATAGCCAGAGATAAGAGGTTTTAGTATTTACCATGGATGTGTTCATTCCCAATCGTCTTGCATAACTTATATATCTGCCAACCCTTGGTTATTTTTATATCCTTTACTGTTTATCACTACCGTGTTTCTGTAGATGGTCATGGTAAGTCCGCTTATTTATTTCTATCGACACTACATATTAATTTGATTTGTTCTGTACTGTTCTATTTCACATTTCATATTCCCTTCATTTCTTTATAGTCTCTTTTTGATCATCTTCATTGTGTCCTCCATGTTTCAGGCTGGACGCTAACCGTCTAATAACATCACTTAATAACTGTCGTGACAAGGAAAATAAATGTGTATTAAGACTTTTAATTTATTGTTATTACGGGTGAGACAACAAATAATTATTTTAAATCAACTGTTCATATAATATTTTGTTTGCGGAATTTCCTAAAATATCCTGGGTTCAGAGTTAGGAATATCGGATTTGTAAGCGACCTGTGCATAAATCAATATGATAAATATATTTGAAATGGCAATTAAGTAGTTGTCGTTTTAATTATTTCGTAATTGTTCTGGTAGATTGTGATTGTAAATGTTTCTTATGTATGAATTGATAAACTCTAGGTCTTAATTTGCCTATCTTGTAGATTCATAATGATTACTTTGTATGTTTTTATCATCATTTATTTTGCTAGTATGTTTCTTGTCATGGTTTCCTTCACTCCGGTTGAAATATCGATTACATATTTGATTTCGTTTCTTGACTGGCCATACATCAAGTGGTCCCATTGAGAAAACTTCACTAATCTGTAAATTAATGTATAATTGAAAATTAAAAAGTCGTTACATGTTATTTTGCAAATCTGATTATTGAAAGTTAAAGTTTTTACAAGTTTATCCAGTGCGAACTCTGGTCACATGTCCTCAATTGATAAGTCCTCCGAAATCATATGTACTATCAGACGATTTGCCTTAAAAGGAGCGCGAATTGGTAACTTGTGAAATGCATAGGCGTTAGCAAACTATCTTTTCAAACCTGAATTCTATGTACATAAGCGACATATGTGTATATAAGGTTGTGGAAATTGTTGAAGTTTACTGAAACTGGGAGCCGGTCGATGTTAGACCACCAATGAGAACCATGAAGCACTGGACGGCTGTTTTGTCCTAGTGTGGGACTTCAGCGGTGCGTATACAAGACCCCTCACGCAGGAATTGAACCTACCACCTTTGATCTTGAGTGCGAATGCTTAACGTCTGAACCAATTGAGCCGGTATCCAACTGTGCTAATTAATGTCTAGGTTCAATCAATTCACGATATTGGGCGACTATCTTCGATTCTCTTCGAGGTGTAAATGACTCATCTGACACAGTTAAACTCCACTGGTCACGGCCTCTCACTAGTACTTTGGGAATTTCTTTTCGAATCCAGTAACTAGTGGGGAAATGATAAGTTAGACATCCACATTGGATTCCAGCTCAGTTGGTCTATAAGTTAAGCGTTCGCGCGCAAGACCAAAGGTGGTAGGTTCGACTCTTCGAGGCAGAGCCGTGGATAGTGTAGCTTAAAAATGAGGCATATATAAATGTATGCATTTTTGAGTCATACAGCTTGTTTCATACTACTTATGTCTTTGTTTCTATTCGTTTTTTATCAAACTTTATCCTGTTTGTGAGGATTTATGTTTTTGCTTTATTGGTGTCGAGGACTGCGGTTGACTAGTTTTTCTAGATATACGACTATTATATAGCGTCATATAATTAATGCTATCGTAAATAAAAGCTAGGTGCAGTGAAATTGTACTCTAGAAATATGATTCTCATCTCAAATAGACAAGTGAAATGACAATCGAAATTGTGAGTATAATACTGTTAAAGTCATTAATTTGTGTGAATACATTCATACTACTGAAATGATTCAGTGGCTCGTTTACACCTCAGAACAGAATCGTAGTACTTTCTATAGTTTACAGGAAATTGATTTCTTCTGAATTCAGATGACGCGTCACTTATGTATTTATCCATATAAATGAGTTTTTGTTGTATTACTTGCGGTTCAAATCTGAAATCAAACAATATTGCGAGGGATGGTTTGAAATGTCTCAGTAGTGTGAAGATCGATACTTGAATGAAGGTACATTTAACTGACTACTCCCAAATAAGTCGAAACGCACATCATGGATTCTACTGTAATTCTCTATCCAACATATTTTTATGTTCGACATGTTTTTATTGTTGTTTATACCCTTCATCTATTGACATATCTACTCTTGCCATACTTCATATAAGGTGTAAAATCTCTAATTGATGGTCATTTTTTTCCAAGATCTATGTTTCATTTATGACTGATTAGAAAAAATTGCATTATGTACAATATATTTAGCTTTATGACCTATTTAAGTTTGCCTAAATTAAATGTGATTGGATGTAAAAAAAAGTGTTTTCTTTGAACATACTGCCGAATTTATCGATTCTATTTTCGCTATCAATTTTATATATTTATTATTCTTTACGAAGAAGGAAAAGACCGAATTTGCAGAATAAAGCAGAATGACTTACCTTCATTCTAAAACCATTTTTAACTAAAACAATGAAAAATACCAATGGAATCATGCTAATTGATATTCCACTCATGGTCCAACCTAAATAAATTGACCATTTTGGATAAACATAAAATTGTGAAGTTCCGTGCAGAGTGATATTTACTCTTTCTGAATAATTAGTTGATAATTCTGGATGTTTTGCTCCATAATTATATTGTAATGGTGTAGGATCTATCAGTGAACTGATTATCATAACCTTCATTGATCAGGAAAATTCGAAGAGAAAAAAATCAAGTGAATAACCCATATACTGACTAAACGAGATGTAGTATTCTGTTAAGTAGTATATTTATTCCTTGCGAATTACAAAACAATCACCTGATTAGGATAAATGATACTCACTCGGTTGTTCATTACTAATAGGAAAAGTATGTAGTTGAATTGTAGCCTGAATATCTCATTCGTAATATCTCTATGAAACTAGGTGACGTGGGTTCGATTTCACCTGGGAATATCAATTCCTTAAAGCTTGCAAGTGCAAACCAGCATAAAACATAGATCCATAGTTTCCTTCAGACTACCTCTTAACACCTAACTATATGTAGTTCAGTATATGGAACTAATGATGTTATTTTATTTTGTATACCTAAAATGAACATAACTCAGTGCTTAATAAGATCTTAGTTTTGTTACATGTATATATATGATTAACACTAAGTTCCAAACAGTCCAAGGTATTAACGATCAAACTGATACCATAAAGTGAATTTGTTAGCAACAAATGAAAGGATGTTGCGAAATAATATGCTGTTCAAAGTCTGGAACACATGTAAAATGACGACCTGAGCCGCTATAATCACGTTTTGCATATACATATATAATATTCATGTGAATTATAAGCAAAGATGAATAGTGGCTAGCAGTGGGACTCGTTAGCTGGATGTACTTGCATCTCCGAGTTAATGTTCACTCCGGGACTTGAACCCAGTACCATTCGCTTCAAACGTCATCGCGTTATCCACTTAACTACTGAATCCTGATAATCACCTGCTTGTCCAATGGGGTGAATTTAAATTCACTTGGTATTTGCTTGAATCTTCCCATTGAGGTTTAAGACTGCAGTCGATCAGTCTATCGATCTTTGCTTATAAAGCTTGTGAATTAGGGCAATACGCACAGTGTGCACGTATGCCAATAACAGACTGATCAATTACAGCCTTATACCTCAATGCAAGATTCAAGCAAACAATACCAAGTGAGTCGTTTTTAGTCCTAGGTTCGATCGGCGTTTTTTCCGACTTTTCAAGCGATCTGGACTACCAATAAGCTGTAATTGCACAATAATTGTAATGGTACGTATCCAAACACGTCAGTCGTTGTGGATACGCAATGTATGGTTGGAGTACTTACGTCTTGTCCTACATTTTTTTTAAAAAAGGTCTCTATGACTTAATCAGATTACGGTTTAGGTTAATTGCTTTATTACTCATCTTTTTTTCAACATTGATTAGATAGTCTGTCTCGAGTCCATAATTAGTATTATACTCTTTGGTTCATTACAGTGGCTTAATTCGATATCCATGTAACTGTTTCGCATTTTTATAGTCTTTTGTTCTTTGTTTCTGAACGAACATTTACTTTAATTTCAGCTAAGTGAAAGTAACTATATGGATCACCAATCAAATTACAATTTTTATGCATGATAAATTTATGCAACGTTTCTTACATTTTGTTAAGGTGGACTCAAGTTACCTAGTTTTTTTCAACATGTTAGTTTTTTCCCCGTAGTTATTTTTCTTATTCATCTTTCCGTATTGATGTTTGGTATTATCTGATTAGTTGTTGTCATTTGTCCTTTATTAATTTTGTTTTCTCAAGATCATTGAGCATTACTACATAAACCGCTGTTTCCTTTTAATTTGGACTTTTGTTCGGAATAGAAAAGTTATTCCAAAGGTTTCGTTTTCTCTATCTCGTGCTAGCCTATGAATTTCTAAATGTAAATTGTTGTGTCATTTGCTGTCCCTATAGAACACTTTCGTACCAAAACAGAGCGCAATCGTTTTGTGATTTGCAACTAGCGCAGGCCTGTAGCAAGCTTTTTTCTTATGATATAGCATATTTTTGCAAACGGTCCCTAAATCAAATTCCATTTTATAATATTAAATAGGAGAATTTAACTGTTAAAATGGAAATGACCAGATAAAATATGCTTACAGTCAAAGTGATGGGTGTTAACAGTTTCCAGCACAATCGCCAGTATATATTAGGTGTGGGAAGATTCATTGATATAATATCTTGACAAAGTTTATTCATACCTATAACGATAATACTTAATATTACTTCTTGGTTGTATTCCATTATGACAAAGTTATACCGAATGTCGACTTGAAAAAAAGTTCGGAAAACGGGTCTCTTCTATTCATGTTTTGCAGTAAACATTTGATTTATGTATCAGGAAGGATATTTTTCCATTTTCTGTTTTTTAGTTGACTAAAAAAATACTAACAACCTCGACCATTATCCTTACTTAATTACATATTTTTCTGCCATTTGTTGATTTTACTATTCTTTACATCAGAAACTGACTTTAAATAGAAAATCGCTGCAGACCAAGAATCGTGAAACGTTTGTTTTGTCCCAGTGTCGGGCTCCCCGACAGTAAACACATGACTACATACGAGATCGAATGTAGCTGCTTTTTAGACTACTCTTCTGGAGTTTGATAATAAACAGTTTTAACTTAACCAAACACTATTTTAAGTGATACCTGTCTCACTCCTGACTTGGTCGAACTCCATCGTACACTGTTTCTCGTTAGGACTTCAGTGAGTCATCTTAAAATTAATCACTAGTGAATACATGGTTATGACTAGCATGAGAGGTAAGATTTCATAAAAACACCGTACACTTGGAACTTAACCTATTAGTAACAGCATATTGATATGTACACATAACCTTCAGAATGGGTTTTTGTGAATATTATAGTAATTTCAATAGTTGAGATCATCAGTGAATCGAAGCAAGACCACCATGTAAAACCTGGAAGCACTGGACGGCCGTTTAGCTATACTGTGGGCCTCCTCAGGAGCGCGCATCCACGATCCTGCCTCATAAGACTCGAACCCACGATACTACGCAACGGCCGTCCAGTGCTTCCAGGTTTTCCATGGTAGTCTTACTTCAATTGACTCATGATCTCAACATACGTCTCAGGTATTTAACCGGCTGAGTTCAAACTGTATTAATGACGGTTGTCTCAGTGCTATCTCTTACACGACTGATAAGTTTAGGAATCTGTTATTGAACTTCTCTACTTGAGGTTCGTGCTGCTAATGTTCAGAAGAAGAATGGAAGCAAGAATAAGCCATCCAGCTCAGAGAACGAAACTCATCTAAACTACGGATCTTTATGTCCTTATAAACTCTGATTTAAAAACTAAATTTTGTCAGAACGGGGACTGATAAAAATATAATCAATTGTTTTATTTATTCAGTAATTCGGTTTGTGACTAACTGCCTAACTTCACCTGTTCAAGTCATAGCTAATCTTGCTTATGTAATCGAACACATTCATTTTGGCTTTTTGTCATCATAGATCACAAGTATGTCAGTTATATCGCGTCTTGTCTTCTAACTAGATTCCACTCGGATTATAACCACTTATCAATTATCACGGATACGGAATTATGTATCCACACTGATGAGGAGTCTCGTGATAGGACGAAACGGACATCTAATGCTTCTAGGTTTTCAGTGCTGTCTGGTTAGGTTCAGTCTGTTGCTGAAACTATGAAAATAACTGAATAGACTGTTTTCATAATCGTTAAACACTGATGATCTAGAGACAAATTAAATTAATTGCTCTTACAGTTTATTCATTAGTTAGTATGATCAGAATAAACTGGTATACTATACAATAGAGAAAAACTTAAATTCAAGCAAAACTTATATAAACATATAGTTTATGACTTACCATAAAACCATGCTATGGCAATCACTTGAAATAAGCTTCCAATGAGTAATGCAGTACCAGCCATATATCGATCCATAAGGTTGAATACATACATCCCCCCCTTAAAATTAACAAGAAAGTCCGATCAGGCTTTGATATGATGCCCAAAGGTTTGGCTTGTTAGTCAGATCTTAGTGAATGATTGGCCTACAATATAATTTCATCTAATCGCCTATGACATTTCTTCATGTTTATTTTGTGTTCATATACGCGCATTCTATCTTATTGAACGAAAAACCATTCATCTGACTAATGGTCTTGTCTGTAATCATTCGGGGCACCAAGTTAATTATATGGCCTCGTGACTATCCATCACTCACTCACATTATATCATAGTGTTCTCTTGTCAATTAGCATTCTATTTATCGACTATGACAATTGAAAGTTCACATCATTCAGAAAACGCAATCGATAACAGGTTTAGCAACAGGTTATCCATCATTGATTGATCACTGAGTAGTAGTGACTGGTGTCACGTTTGGTTATTTCATTCTAGTGATGATCGAAGTTTATCGAACAAGTTGAAGTGCGATCATTAATCTAAGTGACGATATAATGTCTGCTATTGAAATGTTAGGTGGTTAAGTGTAAGTGACACAGGATACACCAAAGAGGAACAGTCCCTACAAGAGTACAGGTACACCTTGCTGATTAGCGCCAAATCTCATGAAACCAAGGTCTAAAGCTTTCTGTTGAAATGTGCATTTCCTCTGATCATACGAAGTAACAGAATTTTACATTTAACCTCAGATTAGCTGATCAGTCGTTCTGAATGGATATTAGACTTTTATAGTATTTGTATACGAATTGTTAGGTTAAATTGCTATGATTAATGTCACTGTCAACAGTACCTAAAATCCACTTATCGCAGACAATTACATATGGAGATGAATGTAGGAATCTAGGGGACATGATGTCATCTGATAAGCCAGGTCGGGAGATTAGCTTGCCTACCTTCACTTTCGTCCTCAGCTAGTTTTTTACTGGTAATATGTTGGATGTAGATGACAGACTGATTTTACTGATATACATATAATCAATTCACCTGGTGGCTGCCTTTTCAAGTTTATTACGTAACATATTTAAGAAATCGGTTCCCCGATCAGTTCTATTGTTTCCCTTATTTTCAACTAACTGTCACAATATAAAATGACAATATACTTTCTTTGGTGAAATAAAAACTTTTGATTACTTTGGTACTTATCAAACTTCGAGCAACCTGGTTTATAAAACTGAAATTGTTTTACTTAACAGGGTATTTCTGTCAAAGGTATGACTGGAAATTTTTCTCTATGGCTATTAGAATTTAAGTTAATGATATCACAGCGTTATGGTGTCTTTAAAAAAGATTAATAGTTTTTTAGTCAGGCAATATAATCCGGTAATACAGCTAATATAGCCCTAAATAATTCATACTATCTTAACGAAAACTAGATGAGGTAAGATCACGCTTTAGAAAAGTGATTCTCATGCCAAATCGACATTCGTTAATCAACCACTTACATTTTAAGAATAATAGTATTGGTGAAAGCTATTAGCTTCGTGAATACATTCATACTTCTGAAACGATTCAGTAGCTCAAATTCACTTGGTGTTGTCTTACTTTTATCTTCCCATTGTTATTTAGGACTCCAGTTGATCAATCTCATGTTGGCACATATGCATCCTGTGTGGATTGCCTTGATATAGCCTTAAGTCACAAGCTTTTTAAACCAACATGAGACTTATAAATTTCAGTCCTAAATAACAATCGGAAGATAAAAATAAGACAACAAGTGAATTCAAATTCACCCCATTGCACAAGCAGTTGGCTATCAGGATTCAGTAGCTAAGTGGATAACGCGATGGCGTTTGAAGCGAATGGTACTGGGTTTGAGTCCCAGTGACCATCAACTCCACGATGCAGAGACATCCAGCTGACAAGTCCCAAATAGGACAAAAAGCACGTCCTGGATTCCACTGCAAGCCAATATCCAATTTCGCATGAAAAAACTCACTAGCTCGTTTAAAATTTAAAGTAGAATTGTAGTGCTACTATAAACGTGTTACTTAATCCCATAGTCTACAAGAAATCGATTTATAGTCGGATCATCTTGAACTGATGTCGTGATACACCAATTATGTTTTTATCTATTTAAATGAGTTTGTACTATATTTATAAGGATTAAAAACTAAAACCAAATAGTTGTGATGACTTGTTCAGTACTGGAGTTTTTGAATTTGCTGAATACGTTGGTCAAAGATTATTGACTAGAATACATACACTGGTTACATTAATGAAGGCAAATGAACAGGCCGAACCAATTACAGCCAATGTAATGAAAGGTCGTAAATGTCTGTAACGTGAAAATCTCTTCGGTACAATGTCAGTTAAAGCGGTGACAACGGATTCTAATCCACCCATCTGAAATGATAATTGATACAAAAGGTGACACCTATTAACAGTGTTTCGGTGATATAATAAAGTGATTTAATGAAAATTAACTATTTTAAACTGCGATTTTGATATACATAGTACAATGTAAGCTTCAGAGGACCCCTAAAAATATCATTAAATTGATACGAAGAGAGGGAGGAAAGAGGGTGAAAATGTCATTAAAATTATGGAAAAATCAAACAGCACAGTTCGAGAAAAAGCTATGACTTAAATGTGGAGGTACTGGGGGTCAAACACAATTCAACTGCTCCAGTAACCCCTGAAGCCGTGATCAGGCTGACAGTGTAAGCACTGTCAATACTCGTAGACTAACGAAATAGCTGAAGTTGTTGCACGAGCGAGTAGGGAAGAATTTCGATTGTTCACATTGATCTAGCTATGCACGATTTTTAATTATTTGATGCAGTTTCACTGATGTTTACGATCTTATTATTGTTATAGATTGGGAGGGTCTGGTTTGCTGCTCCTATATATTACAAAACTAGATCATACTTAGTAAGCGAACTAATTGCAACGACCGTGTATATTATAGTTGGCTGTTTATTAATTACACTTAGTGATGATCTGTACCACCCCGTTTTAGAGATGTAAAAAAATCATAGGACGAGATTTTAATAAATAACAAACTAAATGAAAATCGAACATCTTAATCATAAAAGTAAATATTTGTAACAAATACAAATATACTAATATAAATTTCAGCATTCGGTTGTGGAAACTGTTGAACTTTTATTGAGATCACGAGCAGATTTTCGAGGCAATTATTTGACTTTAGATCCTTAAAAGAACAAACAAATTGTATGTATCAAATTATAAGCCGGTATCATATTCGGTTTCCTGACAACAAATAAAATTTGATTTTTTTTTATTGAGATCATGAACTAACCAATGATGGACCATCACTGAAAACCTGGAAGCAGAATAGCCGTTTTGCCACAGTACAGGACTTTTCGGCGGTGATCTAGAGCATAAGCGTTCGCGCGAGATCGGAGGTCCTGCTTTCGGTTTTCATGTCCAGGATCGTGGATGCTATTTTATGAGGTCAGTTGACTAATTACATTTACTAGTAGCAATCATCGACTTTTAATATTTATGTACATGCAAATATGTAACGATAAATAGATATGTGTTTTTCTGCTTTTAAAGAGTTATAAATCACAAATCATTTAAGGTTAAATAGTTTATTTGCCAAATATATGAGTAAATGTATAACTCATTTTGTTTAAAAATTTATTCGGTAACTGTACTTTTTACGTTATTTTCGTTTATGAATCAATCAATTCATGGTTAAGACACGCTTGGCTTTTAACTATTGGATTACAGACTTGAACCTTACTAGCATCTACCTTGGTCTAAGACAATGAGTTAGAAAAATCAGAACTTATATTGAATAGGTTGATTCAAATCTTGATATATATGGTACAAAAAGTGTTTCATTAAATTTCACAACTCACTCCACTGTCTAATCCGAGCATTATAAGTAACAGAAAGAATATTGTTGCCCATAATGGTGCGAAAGGTAAAGTTCCAATAGCTAATGGATAAACTTGAAATACCAATCCTGGACCTTTTTTATTCGATGATTGCACAACAGCATATAAATAAAGTAATTAAAAAAATAATAAACATTTGTAGAAAATCAATATTAACTAGGCTTGTTGTGCCAGTTACTTTTGTTGCGTGTAGTAAGGAATATTCCTATTTCTCTCAAGTTTTACCATTAATCTGACGGGATTGCATTACATTGTCTTGAAAAATGTCTTTGTTGTCTTTGCTCAATTGTTTTATATTATCTCACATTATCTAGAATTAATTATTATTATTATTATGTTATTCCATTTAGTCTGAAAAATTGTATTTTATTTTTCGACTTAAAGTTTTGCTTAACTCAATTTCTATATCTTAATCACTTTGCTATTTATAGTTAGATGTACTTATTTGTGTTATTTCACGGGACATTTCTAATGTTACAGACTTGAAAACCTATTTATTTTAGTTTATGAAAGGCAGTTGTTTATCTATCAATTCAGATGATTATTAGTTGTATTACAAATAACATATTGATTGAAGTTGTAAAATGTGAATCGTTTTGATTATAACTTAACGAATTCGAGAAATTATATTAACCATGAAATTGTAAATTTTTGTGTATGAATAAGTACACATTTAAGAATATACATTGATGTGATATGACCAATGCATTATAAATTATCTGTACAAAACTAGTTGGTTTTCAATTATTCTTCAAATGATGTTAGCAAATAATGGAGAAAATACATTTAAAAAATAAGTAAACAATTTTCTTTTCAGAGTGTGCTGTATCTTTAATATTCATTCCATTTAATTTTATAAATTAGAGTTTGTGTTTGTATAAGAAAAATCCGCTTGAAATTTGTAAACTCCAGACTTTGAATATCTCAACCAATTCTTGTTCATTTAAATAGATATCATTTCCCACTTAAGACTTGCATAACTATCAGGATGGCGGTTTGTAGAGGTTCTTGAATGTTCCTGGAATTAAAAACCAACTTAATTAAGACAACCATCGGAACTAGTATTCACTCAACAATTCCGGTTTTAGTGCACACTGTTGATCATCCCATACTAGGAAAAAACAGCTAACCATCACTTCTTGATTTTCAATGGTTGTCCAACTTAGATTGGTTTGTGATTTTGAAGTTAAAATCGTATGAATTACAGGTGAACGAATACTAATACATTTCATTGATTTCTCACTAACGTTAGTAGAATTTTCATTTAGCTATGGCCAGTTATAATCCATTGGTTTTATCTCAAAATTGGATTTATGAAATGTACCACCACTGTGATAAATATATAATACCATTGTTTACTGAATATCATTCTTACCTTCTCCTGTTACAGTTTGTACTGTAGTATGAGTAAGATGAGCCAAATAACCAAGATAAGCGAATACAGTAACGCCAGCAAATAAACTTGTAGAAGCATTCACAAATGAAGTGATCAAACAATCTCTGTGTGAGAGTAAAAAATATTCGTTAATTGAACTAAGACAAGTAAATATTATCAAGTGTTTGTTAATTTCCGTGTATTGTATTTGAAATATCTGCAATTTATTAATACTGGAGAATTATAGGGTTTAAAATAATAGTAAGTCGAACAACAGATAAAAAACATTCTGTTTTTGGAAGGTTCTTAGTTATCACTTCATATCTTAGGTTTTCTAAGTTATGTTGTAGTTAATAGGTTTCTGTGGTTAATGTTTTTCTTGGTTGGAATATGATTGGGTTTGTAAACATGTGTTTTTGTTGTATCGTATTATGTTGAACATGTAGTAGACATAACAATGATTATTTATTTAAACAGGATAAATGAATAGACAGCATTTTAATTGTCACTTTCCAATCAACTTCACAGGCAGCTTGTCTGATGGAATTCGATCAGCACTAAGGATAGGACTACATGAAATTGGTCACTGATAGACTACCAGCTTTCAGGGAAGTCTAATTACAGCATTTTTACCGTCATTTTGGACAACGTTTTACATAAAATAATCTTTTAACTGAAGTTTTAAATGATGAAAAACTCCAGCCCTGAGAACACAACATCAAATATATCCATATATACTTTAGTATTTTTCTTGTATATTTGAACTCACCTGTAACAATTGTACCGTCTAGGATTATACGTTGCATAAGCGATATGTGCACCGAATCCTGCTCCAGTTGAAAAAAATATTTGAATAGCTGCATTCGCCCAAACCTTGAATAAAATATTACTATTGTTGATTCTTAAAAATCGAAAAAAAACTAATAATGATTGAATTTTTTGATTTCCTACTTTGTATTATTCTATTAATTACTTTCTTTTTTTCTCCTAATAATCGACCCTTATTCTAATGATTTTAAGTTTTTTGTCTTGCATGGTTTACTTACGAAGGTTTCTTTGTTTTTTTTAAGTGACAGTCAAATAATTGAAATGAAAATTTCGTAATTAAACCATATAACTGATGCTTTAAATCCCTATCATTAATATTTGTTTCCATTTCATGTGGTTTTTACCAACTTTTTCCACTTTTTTATTTTTGTTTGATTATATCGTTGATAATGAACATAAGTTGTAGCCATAGTCGTTTTTTTAATTAATCGTTGTCACTTTTTTTCGTTTCAATACATACCCACACCACTAATCAAAATAAATACCTTCACGTTTCCTGAGACTTTCAACTGATGAATGATAATTTACTCAATATACATGCCTAAGTCTCGTTTTAAAATATCAATAAACATCTAATGCTTGTAAATATCAAATCAATTCTCTATTTCTACAGTCATCATTTTATGTAAATTTGAAGAGTTGATGATTATTTTTATATAAAGCCAAAACAAATAATGATCCAGAATAATATAAATTCATTGTATATCGTGGTTTCTCAACAGCTGCTTGCAACCAAGTATGTATTACAATTTTACATTGAGGTAAGAAATAGTATGAAACATAAGTGATTGTAAAGATTTGGAATGACTAAGGTTATCAATAATAACTATACATATGCGCAAGAACAGGTCAGAGGTTATTTGGTGTTGAAATCAAGGAAACATCAAGGATGGGTGACGTAGTAGTTGAGTGGGGTTCAAAAACAGATAAGACAAATTGTGTGATAATTTTAGAGGTAATGAAGGATTTACATAAGATCCATGGAATTAAAAACTGATAAAATGGGTTACTTAATAATTGAATAGAATTTGAAGATTTCACATAATTTAAGAAAATTAAATGAATGAAAATGTATGAGTGATGGGGTGGTTTAGGAATTCGGTAATGGAAGAGAAATATAAAACAAACTAAACATTAACAAAGTAAAACTAATGACCAAAAAAGGATTACCAGGATAGTAATAGGTTTATTAATATCTCTTTTTGAATATATAGATGCGGTTTGAGTTTTTTTATCACGATCACTTCAGCAAAATGGAGAGAAGCAGTACTTCTTTTTCTGCTAACAATACTACTTTTCCTCGTCTTGCTGAAGCGATCGCGATAAAAAAACTCAAACCGCATCTATGTATTCAAATAGAGATGATAATAAACCTATTACTATCCTGGCAATCCTTTTTTGGTCATTAGTTTTATTTTGTTGATGTTTAGTTTGTTTCATATTTATCTTCCATAACTGAATTCTTAAACCACCCCATCACTAATTCTAATATTTGGATGTAAGCAGCTGATAAGAAACCACGAAATATAATGAATTCATATTATTCTGCATCAATATTTTCTCTGACTATTTAAATTCATAAAGGGAACTAATTGCATGAGATTATTTTTATATATCGTTAAAAACTTGTTCACATGAGTATTTATTATTAACTTCAATATGTGTATTTTTTTATCAAGATATAGCTTATATAACTGAAAGTAATCGAATCCGTTCAATGCAAACGTTAAGACTGTTCTATTTGTACAGAGCTGAACTTAGATAACTACTACAACTATCGTCGAAAAGGTACAGGTATTTATAAAAAGCAGTCTGGTGAAGATACTTCAGGTTCGTCGGCCGAACACTCGGCGAATAGGATGGAGATACCGAAAGAATTAATAGATATTGAAAACATTTGGAAAGGAGGACCCACGAGTGAGTTGGTTGAAGACTCATATTCAGTGGCCAATACTTGATGAAAGGCAATGGAGTAATTAATTTAAGAAGTATATATCCGTTCTAATACGACGAGTACAAATGCAATCTTGGTAAAATGTAACAGTATTAACAATCAGTTTTATAAGTTATTAACTGTTTCATCGTTTTTGTTGACACCACAGTCAGAAAAACACATCTTTAATAAAACCCTTTGAAATTTACTCCATAACTTATTACTAGTCAAACTGGATCGTTATTTAATTATCCAGTGGCTGTTGATATTTTCTGGTTCTCTGAATAAGGTTAGTCCATGATTTAGACCGTAAAATTAGAAACTTTTCACAGATCCGTACACATGTGACTAATTTTCAGTGGTCATTTCCAGAATTCTAGTGTGAATCTGTAACCACTGGAATTCAACCAAGGAGCAGCGTAATGCAATTACATATCAGTGGTAATGGAAGATGGTTGAAGGTCATTTTTATCTTTACCAAAGAGTTATGTAAACTGTGAAAAAGCAAAATGTCAAGGAGTTTGAAACAACTGTTCTAACCTACTAAGTTATTTCTCAACAATGCTCACTAATAATTCAACAAGGAGACGTGAATGAGGACCTAGAAACTTCTGGTGTTGTGAACAAACCGAACTAGTTAAGATTATTGATTCAAGACCATTTCTTCAGTTTATTTTCTATTGGGTATTTGGATCTTCCCAGTCATATTTAGGACTACAAATGATCAGTCTCTCGGAATATGTTCATCCTGTTTGGATTGCCTCGATCCAGCTGACTAATCCTAAATAAAAGGAAACGCACATATTGGATTCCACATCTAGCCACCATCCATCTCTGCTTACATTTATTCAGTTTATTGTGAAAACTAATTTTAAAATACACAAACGTTTCATATAATCACCTAATCATTCATCGAAACACTGATCATTTTTCATTAAAATAATCATTCAACTGGCAAGCTACAAACGGAAGAATTTATCATTGTGCATCATTAAAACATATTTGTTTTCAAACAACCAAACAGAAAATGTATGTAACATTTTAGAAAGGAAAAAAATAGCTAAAATTATGTTAGAGAGTAAAATAAACAATGTAATGTTCAAGAGTTACCGTCATTTCTGATAATTTATCAAAGCGCGGTTTAATAAAGTACCAAATTCCATTATAGGAACCATTCAGCGTCAATCCATTAATTAAAAGTATACTCAACAATAAATATGGAAGTAATGCAGTCACATACACAACCTGAAATTTATTTATAATTAATTTTTGTAACGAAACTAAAATATATAATCGTGTAAAAATCATTAATGTAAAAAAAAGAATAACATCGTAAAAGTTAAATGAAACAATCTTCTTTAACACGATAAAAATGATATGAATATGACGAAAGGTATTGTAAGATTGAATTAATCTGTACAATAAAAAATAATCATTAGATCACTAGTGACTAAGTTTGAGATGATTTCTCATAGTTGTTAGTGACAATTTACGACTGAGTGAACTCAGTTATGTATCAGATATAAGACAGGTTTCTCTGATATTAGCATTGAATAATTAAAGTACAATATTACAACTTGTCGGATGGTGAATATTTAAATCGTTGAACACTGGTTCAATATTATGTAGGTTATGCAAATAAAGAATTTTCTGTAGACAATTAATTTCATTCACTTGTTATATTATCATAGCGGTCAGTATTATTCCTAGAAGTAAACTAGCCTTGTTACAATATTTGAATATGAATTCATTAGAGAGTATCATAGTGGTACTGTTATCATAATGTACTGCATCTGGAACCTCGCATTGTTAACTCCTGGTTTAGATTATCATTCTGTCTTAACCTAACGCTAATTACTATCGATCGATTTCAGTATTAAATGTAAGTGCAATCTGAGTGTGGTCGGCTCACTTTTTCTGTTGTTCTTTTTGATTTTATATTTTTGCACACATATTAGTCTTCGCACTTCTCTCCCCATCTCAAAATTCGAAGTATGTACAGGAAAGACAGAAACCTACCAAAAGCTGAACGACATAATATCATTGAAAATAAATTGATAACATTTACCTTGCCCGATGTTTTCACTCCATTCCTCATTGATGCAAATAGTATACTAAATATGAATATAGTACATCCTACTAATTGCCATCTAATTGGTCCAAGATCTTCTAAACCAGTACTTTGCTGTAATTTCAAAACAACACGTCTAAAATACCACATAAAAGGGGTAAAGAAAAATTGGATTCGATTTATTATTCAAAATTGGATATTAGCAAGGTGGAATATACAACTGGTGGTCATGTTCACTGTGATATTTATTCTGTAAAACACGTAACATTCGTCTGGCTCAGCGTAAAATATCGACAGGACTGATGTTTCCCGTACGATTTGGTCCTGTGTTTTCCAGCTTCGTATTGCAACTGGATCAGGAAAGTTTGACGAGCACTTAAAAAGGCTTGAAATATACGACATTGGTCACTACTTAGTGATTAATTAGCTGTAAAAATATGTTAGTTCTATAGGAGGTAATTCAAGGTCCAAATAACCCAGTAATAACGTCTTTGACCATCAAGATGAGTGACACAAGATTAAATCCTAAAGAAAACATCAGTCCTCTAAAGATTACAGGTATATCCCGTTGACGAGTGCCAAACCGTTCGAAACCCAAATCCAGGAATTCCTGTCGAATACCTCTAACCACCACTTTGTATTTCCACGGTTTTCAATCATGTATTCGGTAAAATGTGTATAAAGATAAGTGTATTTGGTTAATTAGCTGTTGTCTTGTTTTGTTATTAAAGAATGATTAGAATCTTCATCTGTCACTTGTTCCTGTCTTCTTTCTTGTGTCGTGCGAATTGTAGTCTCTTTTTTTTAAATGGTATTTTATCACAGCAATCACAAATAATTTGAATGAATGTAATTCTTATTAAGGAGATTAAATTAAATTTCAATAAACATAAGTTGCGTATAAGTTAAAAATACTTTTTTGGCCGTTCGTTTAAGAAAATATCCTTCGAACTTGCACAATATTTAATTAATTAGATAATGTCTAGAACGTTATACATCTAAACATCTTGCCTTATTTCAAAATTTACACTGTCTGATGGAAAATAGCTTCATTCAGCAGTTGGTGTTTTCTAAACAAGTATAGTATTTTACAGTCAATAGTCTTTTAATTATTACTTGTAAGTAAACTCAGTGTTACTTAGCGTAAGGATAAACATTCTTTTCTCAGTGCCCCCAAAAATGTCATATCTAATACTTTCAGACATTTTCCCATTCAATATGTTAGCGTATAGTTTGATCAGTGTGATATGTTTACAAATGAAAATCGAAATTTTAAAATATTCTTTATAAGCAAAGATGGATGGTGGCTGGAAATGGAATTCAGGGTGCATGTTTCATCCTATTTGGGAGTCGTCAGCTGAATATACCTGCATCCCAGAGTTGATGTTCACTCCGGGACCCGAACCCACAAACGTTTGTCTCAAAATCCATCGCGTTATCTACCTAACTACTGAGTTCTGATAGCCACTTCCTTGTCTAATGGAATGAAGTTGAAATTCACTTGTTATTGTTTGCTTGAATCTTCCCACTGATGTTTAGGACTGCAGTTGATCAGTTTCTTATTGGCACATTTGCATATTGTGCGTATTACCTCGATATTGCTTTAATTCACAAGCATTATATGCAAAGACGGGTGGTGGCTAACAGTGTAATCCAGAACGCGCGTTTCATTCTATTTGAGACCTGTTAGCTGAATCCCATTGCTAGTCACTATCCATCTTTGCTTATAATTTGTGTGAACTAAAGCAATATCGAGGTAGTCCGTACAGGATGCACATATTTCACTAAGAGACTGATTAATCGCAGTCCCTAATATCAATGGAAAGATTAAAATAAACAATACGAAATGAATTTAAACTTCACTCCATTGCACAAGTTAGTGAAGCAAATGATCTAGATTGGAGTCCCGGAGTGAATTCATTTTTCGGGGTGTAGGTACATCCAGTTGATGGGTCTCAAATAGGACGAAACGTGCGTCCTGAATTCCACTACCAGCCACCATCCATCTTTGTTCATTATGATTTTTATTGTACTTAACATATTCTGCATTGTTTTCTTTATATTGTTTATACCTGTGTTTATTTAATTTAGTTATTTATTTACTCTGAAGAAGAGTCTTACATTAATTCATGGAACGTCAGAAATACAACTTCCTACCCATTCTGATATAACAAAAGATATATCTTTTAAATTTTTATTGAAAATAAGTTCGGTAGTAATTCTTTTGTTTTAGATGCGAATGTGTACATATGTAGAAAAATAGTGATTATAGCTAATTTTTTTTTGATGACTCGCTTTTAATCTGTCGTAATGCTCTATTAAATTTTTCAAATTACTGCTATAGATCAGTTGACTTAACTGTTGACGTGCTTGGAGAACGAATTTGTAAATTTCAGCTGATCAGTTTTCAACCAACAGAACAATTTTTATGATTGTATAAATGAAAGCTAGTATTACAATTTATATGATGGATTAGCATTGTCCAAACAACCAATGAAAACCAAAAAATCACTAAACAGCTATATTGTTATAATATGAGAATTCTCAGTTGCGGATATCCACGACTTTATCAGAGATGGAACTCAAAATGTTCATGTCTTGGGGCAAGTGCTTAGACTCCGAATCACGCTTACTAGCCATTGAATCGCTTATATTTTTAACTCCAATCAATTTACGACTTTGGGTCATCATGATTCAATACAATTAGCAGAAAACTCTGTCACTCCCGTACATCGTTAAATACAAAACATTCAACCAAAAATCTACTAAGAATATGTAATTACTTATTGTTTAATTCAATATGCGTTATCAACAATGAATATCACGATCACAGAACACATTCAGTGACAAATACCTTTCTAGTTGTGATAAATAATAATAATTTTGTTTTATTTTGAATGAAAAATCATTTATATGAAATCTTACTCAAAATATTCAATTGAAGCAAGACTATAATTTTTCTGTTGTAATAAATCATTTTCGTCATTGGAAATAAAATTAGATAAGTTTTGTAAATACGTAAAATTCACGCAATTAATACTATTACCCCTTCGTTGATCACAATAGGTCCATGGTAGAATATCCGTAATGGATACAAATAAAAAGTATAGTGACCATGCAGATATTGTATTATAATAGAATGCAACTATATAGGATATGATTACTTGAGCAATACCAACACCTGTGAAATATTAATCATAACAAATAAATTAAATGAACTTTGGTTAAATCATGTCTTATCTATGAAACAAATCAAACTATATTTGTTGGATAGTTTTGGGAAGATTTTTTGCTGCTTAAAAATAATTTTTGTGATAAATCGACGTTAACTGAAAAAACGTTGGATACTAGGAGCCTGTGTTGTTCTAACAGAAGATACCTCAGTCGTACACAATCACTTTTTCACATTTTACAGAGCCAAGAGCTTTCTGATTAGGCACAATAACTAACCATGTTCAGCCATTAAATGTGCATCATTTTATGAATAAGATTCATATTCAAGTCTTTAAAACACCGTTTACTGATGTATATTATCAGAGATTAAACAATGTTTGGTGTCATACAAAATATGTAATGTTATTTGAATATTTACAAAATTGAAAGGTTTCATGGTCAACTATCGCATAATTTTGAATCTAAGGCTTACGTTGCTTAGTGCTTGTTGGTCCGGTGTTCTCAAAGGAGTAAAAGGAATTTCGAAGTTTCTTTTAAATTTTTACAGTAATGTTACTTCACTCAATGAACGACTCTTTTGTGACCCGGAATGGAAACCTGTTTACTCTTCGAATTGAATAAGCGCATAAAAAAGATAAAGTTTATTGTGATTGATGATGAGAGTGAATAAGCAATTAAACTACGTGATATCGCAATTCTCTTTGGCTTAAAATAATGCCTAATCCGTAGTCAGAATGTACTATAGGATCGACTTATTTTGGAATTAGTGCTGACCATTGACAAATTAAAAAAAATAACATAGTGACCTGTTTTATTATGCTCCACCAAGTGATTTAATTTTAAAAAGTTGTAAGAGAACAGCAAAAGAAATAAAAGTATAGTAGTAACAATAAATTTTACCTCGAAACATAGGACATATATCCCAAAGAGAAATAGCTCCACGACGATGTTTTTGGCCTAAAATCAATTCCAAGTAGAACATTGGTGTTGCACTGCAAATCATCACAATAAAGTAGGGAATTAGGAAAGCACCTAAAATGTTTAGAATAAATAAGACATCGAAATAACCGTGCAGTAGTTACTGATTCATAGTTATTCTCATTGACTATAATTACACTTTTTAATAGTTAAGATGGTTGAGAAGATGAGTTGACTCGTAAATTTAACTATTAAAATCACTACAATCTCCACAAATCCCCATTCTAATAACAATTACACTTTTCTCTATAGTTGTGTTACTAGATAACTATTTCGAGTAATATGGTCTATCTGAAAAAAAGATGATCAAATCAATTTAAGTCATTTGTAATACATGTGACCTTAAAATTTCGTGAAAGATCCAGACTTTTATTTATGAATCGATGTACTTCTCACTGAATCAAAGTTTCAGTATGCAAAATATTTAATTGTTCATGCTTAAAAATGAATTTGCTTAACAAACCAGTTTAATGTATTTGTTAGACATTTACTGTTCACAAATTAGTTTTAATAGTCAAACTATGATACACGTAAAGGTTCTAAACTGTCCGCTCTCGTTTGCAGAAATCATAAAGTATAAAGAAGCATTATTTGGTTACCAAATATCTTCCGAAAAAACCAGCAAAGCTGATGTCCATATATATTTTTCAACTCATTAGATCAAAGTTACGAGTTCTGTTTCATACCTCGTTTGTATAGCATTCAATCTTTAATTCAATAACTCTAATGCAGAGAAACATGAACTCTTAACAGACATGTCAAAAATAGGATGTTTATAAAGCGCTGGTTGAGGATGCATAAGCGAATACTGTAACTGGCAGTCGATTGAATGCTTACTGATGAAGAATCCTATAATGGAATTAAACGGCTGTTTAGCGCTTCTTGTCGTCGACGGCTGTCTTATTTAGGTTGGTTCATGAACAAAACGTGTTGGACTGAAACAAGCTATGTGATATTAGTTGAGATAAATTACCAAACAACTGTAAGTAAATTATTGGCAACATATATATAACAGAAAATCATGAGTTTAACATCATTTGAATATATTACTTTATCACAAATATGAAAAAAAACTGGGAGGCAAATATTTAGTACAGTTGGTTAAAATTGCGCATGCTCATTTCGCTGGATCTAAGCTCTTCTTATGAGATTTAGTTTTAAAATGGACGTGAACGATTCTTCTGAATATTTCCGTGTAAAACGTTTGAAAGTAAACAGTACAGGTCTTATTTACCATTTTTCTTCAATGTTTGTGTTACTAATCCCATGACCGAGATTGGAATATTCGGCTTTAAAAAATAAGTTCTAATACTTTATATATAGAATACCATGAATATGTTATCAATATATCATTTCAATTACGAAGTTACACAAAAATATTTGATTAAAGGTATTTTCTTCAAAGATTTCCTTTGTTATCAGTTTACACATACGTATTCTATGGTAAACAAACACTTCATGATAATAATTTATTCATAATCATTGAATGTATGGTTCATGTGATATCTAATGATAATCAGATAACTTCATGTACAAAATTAGTCATCTACAGAGCATCAAATTGTAAACAGAATAGCACGCACCCAACTATTTATAACAAACAGTGGTAAGGAGGTTAAGTGTTGGCACGCAAGACTGATAGGTAGTGGATTGGAATCTTATGAGGCGGGATCGTGTGAGTGCAATGATGAGGAGTCTCATACTAGGAAGAAACGGCCGTTCACCCCTTCCATACTGGTCCAGCCTCAAATAACTCATGATCTCAACTACTGAAGTACATTTTACACAAATCTGTACTTGGTTATGGAGCTAAATATAACATTAAATTTTCAAACAGTAAGTTTTAGTTAATTATAAGTGTTTTAATTTTCCTGTTGTTTGTATTAAAGACTATGATTCGTATACGCTCATTCAAGACAAATCCCCTCGGCGTTATCATCTAGTGATAAGTTTTTAAAATGCTGGACAGTGGTTCCACGAAGCTCAGTTTGTCCTATTTAGGATCCGTTAATTGAATCTATCTCTTTCCCAGTGAGAACTGAGCACAAGACCTACGAGCTCAAACATCAATGCACTATTCACTAATTTAGTGAGTACAGGTAGCCACGAACCTGATCTGTGTGTCTGAATTCATTCATAAGTTATAAATACCGAGTGTGAATCTCAATCTGAACATCAGTACTTGTATGCAGGTACGTTCAGATAGATAATATTTGCATCATGGATTTCTCTGTCATCTATAACCCAGTTTTACGAGAATAAAACATATTTAGATATCATTACATCTTTATATTACATTTTTAAACTGAATGATGCAACAAAAATGAATGAAATAAAAACTCACCGCCACCATTAGTAAAGCATACATATGGAAATCGCCAAACATTTGCTAAGTCAACTGCATAACCAAGTACTGATAGAAAAAAATCACACTGGTTATTCCACTCTTCCCTATGATCATCGTTATCATTATCGTTATCAACATTTAATTTTCCTGATCTAGTTGGTAAATCGGATATCTCAAATTTCATTTTTGAAGTATCATCGTTTACATAACAGTCTACAATGAATTTCTGTTTATCTGATTCATTGATAAATTCTAAAACTAAATTTTTAAATGATATGAAACAAATAAATGTTTGATTTAGTGAAAGCAAACTGTTCAAGAAAAATTATAAAATTCAGTGTCCAAGTGATTCACTTACATAGATATTACTTTTAAACAATGATAACAAGTGATGAGTAATAGAAGTGAAGATAGTGACGTTACCTGAAGTCTATGAACAACAGCAATGAACTATATGAGAAACGAAGATTTGTAGCAGAACCGATATCATTGGCTTCATATTTATTTGTTCACTACTTCACTAAATAATCTACAAGTTATAGCACTGAGTGCATCACAAAAACAATTTTAACAATAATATATTCGACCAGCTCTTAAATAATTGTATGTAAGAATTTATCGTAATCATTCTGTTTATCAGCTCTTACAAAAAGAAAAACATTACACGAAGACAGAATTACCTGAATTTTCGTAAGACGATGATAGATGGTTTAAAGCTAGTTCATTTCCCGTGCATAGATGTATTACTGATGGAACATTAGATTCACATGAATTATCCATTAATTTAAATAATTTTTTTATCGTAAAAAACTTTCCTTAACATAACATTTGTTTTTTCTTAAAGTGAATGGTAATTATTTATATAAGAATTTAAAATTATTTCTTTTACACATCATAACCAATCGAATAATTTAAGTCCATTTAAACTTCTTACCGTGTTGTTTTGATATTAATATTCTTTTTTGAAAATGGATTACAACGAATCTTTATTATTCTAACGTGTTTGTTTAAGAAAGGTAATCAACCAATCAAATTAAGTGATTGTGTTTAATCTTTTATTTGCTTGTGCATATGAGTTCGGTTCTCAAGCGACCGATTTGTGACCAAGTATGAACAGCTTGATCATACTGAGTACAGTATTAATGTCAACATACTCTGTTCATAAATTCAGAAAGGAGTACCTATATTCTTGAGAGGAATAATGCTTCATTCAGAATTTGAACCCGCTTCATACAGTTTTACAGTCTGAGATAATAAGCTAGAGACATTCTGAGTGAAGGTGACCTCTTGTAGGATTGAAATATTTATCCCACAGGGAGCATTGGTTCCTTCAAGATTGAAGATAATCCAATCTTCTGTGTGGCAACTCCAACGAAACTGATATGGAGAGCCAGTCAGCAGTAGCGAAAGCTCAATCGATGGCAATCAGAAGTGAATTAAGGGTCAAGTGCATTTCTTTGAGGTCAATCTTCTAAGAATAGAATGGTGTAGTGTTAGTCATTAGTTTTATCCCATAATATATCTTATTCTAGTTTCCGGACATTCCATTCTATTCATTCTACTTGAGTCATGTTTTGACCTTGTTAATTATTAGCTTATTAGCCTTGACTGTCTTCATATGAGCGCATATGTGTGTACACTTCATGTCTCATGACTCATCACATGTCTGTAGTTTATTTTGTCTGCCTATAAATATTGAGTAATGCCCGGCTTGAAATGGAGTTGGCTTCCCAGCCATCTCCCATACGTATCATTTTGCTCTACTCTTTTATTCGCTTCATATTCAAAATACATGTATTCTCGAGTCAATTCTCGTTATTCGACTTATTTAATTCCGTTATTGGATAACGCGATTTAAATCGACGATGATATACGAGAATTGGCGATAACAAACATCCATACAATCTGAAATGGAGTCGAGAACCACGGGCCACTAAAATGGTATATATATGAATGGTTATTTTTGCATTTTACTCGGTAGTCCAATACGCTTTCTCTCTCACTGTTGTGTTCTCACTCAAGTAGTCAGTTGGAAGGTTAGCACATAGCACACCATGTATCACTATCATATTTTGGACACCACACGTTACAACAGAAACACAGGTTGAAAGTTTTCTATCTGCTATCTCCAACCGACTGACATCTTAATATACTGCGTGTGATGTCAAGTCATCTTGATTAATGGCCACATTACAACTTGGTCGATGGAATTCGATCAGCACCAAAAGGACTAAACAAATAGTTTTTAATTACTCAGTGGTAAACCAACCGTCAATTCTTGAAATAATAACAGACAATTAAAATGAAATGATAATGTTGTAAGCAAGTTTCCTCGTGAAAGTGATCAGTGTTGGCTGACATTTTAAACAATAATCGGTAAGACTGCTAAGAAATGCTTATTCTAGCTGAAGAAAGACATTTTTAGCATGCAAAGTTCATATGTAAATGTTTCAAAACTGTTTCCTAAAACTTCAGTAATTTGTTTTCAATATTTTCAAATGATCAGAAAAGTGCTGTAGGCTTGCTAACTAATGCATTATTAAGGTATCTTTAATCTCTAGTAATCTTTAGTTTAAACATAGACTCTAACCTTCACAATTCAAATTAAGATGTTACCGTCGCATTTGAGATGATTTTAAAATTAAGTTTCGTTTGTATGAAGTTATTTTGTTATTTGAAATTTCCCCGATTAAAGATGTGCAAACTTTCGTAGTTATTATGCTAATGTTAGACACAAAATATCATGTTATTTAGTCTTTGTTGTTGATTGAACTCTATTGATCAAAGTTTGTCTCATGACCATTCAAATGCATGGCTCAAAAATCATAATGAATTGCTTTCATACTAAATGTATGTTGGCAGACATCAGGAATCAAATAATTTAGGGTTTCTTGCAGAGTAACACTTAATATATCATTTAGTGTAGCCATTACATACATCAGTAATGATCCATTTGAGAGGTAACTAATATCATGTAAGACTTAGTTGATTACAATCACCGATCAAAAGATAATAACCGACTTCATATAGTACAATTCTTAGTGCTAACTAAATTCTACTGATCAAGTTCTCAGTGCTACTAATAGACTCAGTAAAAGACCATAATATATGTCTCCAATCGGTTATCTTTGAATTGCGCTAGTTATATCAGGGGATATTTCACTTAAAGTCGGTATCATGAATTTACGAGTGAAATACGTATATACAATGGTAAGCATAAAAAAGGTGGAAGATGTAAGTGACATCTGATTTATCAGCAGTTATTCGTTTACTTCTTTTTTACGTTAGAGGTGAACCATAACTATTTCAGAATTTTATCCATATTTAGTTTTGGGTCATATCTGACATCTCACCAACCCCTTCGACACAACATCATCCAAATCTTTATGAATTTTTGAAAATATGATAAATAGTTTGTATCATACATTCAATGCTGGTTGATAGAGGAGAAGATTGAAAAGAAGTAGTCGTGGAAGCCTTGATTACTGATATAAATCATGTGAGCAGGTCCAGATTGAGATCCGATTAAAATTGGTCGCGATCTCACCACTGTATTCATTCTTCATTTTTTCCTTATATTTTGTGATAAATGTGATTTCCAATTATTTATTCCTCGATTCCATTCTCTCATCTCTAGATTTATTTTACAACTGATATTATTTTGTCTGCTCTGATTTTATTATTTTCAGTTTCGTCTTTCGTTATACTAATGACAACTTGGACTGAGGAACATTTATGTCGAATCCTACATTGATAATAACTGACTGCATATTTTTCATCACAGTGTTATTAGCTTACTACCTCTTTCTTTTTGAGTTGTCTGAGTAATAGTAAACCACACTAAATGCAGAGTTAGTCAAAGTAATGTACATAAAATGTGTTCAGATCATTGGAATTGGTATGTTGTGGCAAGTTTATTTGTTACATCAGAATATTTATCTGACTTAGATTCTGTTGTTCAAATTGTGCTTGGATCAAATGATATGGTCAGGAATTGTGACAAGATAGAATCTTCTTTAGCCAAAAATTAATCTGAACCAATTAAATTCAACACTGCTTATCATAATAATTCATCTGACACATTTCTAACAAGCAGAGTAATTTACTGTTCATATTTCGGTAGAATTGCGTTCTGTGAAGTGAATGTCTTCACTGTTAAACAACATAATCCGTTATGATATTTATCAACCCTCTCAAGTCATTTTAAGAAGTTCTTTTTCTACAGGCGAGACCTTCACATAATCTATATCTCCATATTCAGTTCTTCTTCAACAATTCATTTCAATAAGTCATTTTATTACTAAATATTTCATAGTATATCATTCCTTCATGTGAAAACATCTAGACAGTATTTGATCAGTAGTGTTCTTAAAAAACAATATCGAAAAAAGGAAATTTCACTATAGATTGAAAATGTAAAATAATTTTATGTAATCAGTATTCACGACTAGCCATCATGAATTTAATTCTTATTGTCAAGGCAACCTTAAACTAAAGAGATAATTACAAGAAAACAAATGCTCGGTGCAAAGTGAAAATATTTGTTGTTTAGATCTACAGTTATAATTCTTAGCTGTAGGTTAGTCACTATGCAAATTTTATATATATATATATATATATATATATATATATATATATATATATATATATATATATATATATGTAATGCAGTTGGCCATCCTAACTCTCCCAAGTCAAAAATTACAAACATACAACATTCATGCTTACATGCATGTTCATTGGTTCTACATCTTGTACACTAGTTATTCACTAAGTGAGAATTTAAGTTCCGCCATGGTCCAAGAATATTAACCGATACATATAAATCAATGAGTTTGTTCATTTCTCTTAATGAACTTAGCACAATGTACCATACCATATGAATTAGAGAGTTTAAATCAATTGGTGAAAAACTTTTAAACATGATGTTGAATCATATTTCTAAAATGGATCTAATAATTTAGTTTACCCCATTTAACAGATAGAGAACGCTGACTATTAAGTTTGCCATCTCATTATTATCAGTACTGTGATTTTACAGAAGGTTAATTACCATTAAAAACAGTAGCTCAGTAATGCCAATTAGCATTTTCATTTCATTTATTAGAGGCATTCAAATCTTAGGTTGGTTTTATAAATATCTCCAAAATTGATAAGTACTGCAAAAGAGTTGGAAGTAAATTTGAGGGTTCCCTAACAATTGAATTTAACTGTCAAATGAAGCTGAATCATTTTAAACAATTATTTAACACTAATTGCAAACGGTGATAAAAATAACTTGAAAAACTGACTGAAACCCAATTAATTTACACATATTTATTAATTTCACTTGCTCTTTTGTATGTCATAAAAATGACTTCACAAAACAAATTTGAAATTATTCAGCTGTAAGTGACTTGAAGAGCACCAAAAGAGATAATAGAAATGAATTTATGCCTAATTTGGCCACTTAACAAATATATCTATATGAAAGATGGGGATGTTGTGTGAATGTGTATTGGGTGGATAATGGAAATCCAGTATATGTAACTTCAATGATTAGCTGATAGAGGGAGGTGATTTGATCAAAGTCAGTTTTGGAAATGGAAATAAAAACACTCATTACCGGTAACTGGTAAACCTCGTAGTTGGTTACACAGAATTAATAAGTCAAATTGCTTGCATGTATTAAACACCGGTTTATTTTTTCGCATTTATTAGTTTATCTAGATTTTTTAAACTTACAAATTAGTAGTTGTGGTTTATTTAAACAAATAAACTGAAATCAACAACCTGTTAGGGGTCACTATTTTAAGTAAATCGACATTTCGTTTGAGATAAGTCAGTTGACAGTAGTCGACAGGAAATCCTTGAACTAGGTTTCATTGTAGTTAATATTCATGAATAAAGTGTATCTGCAATATTGACGGAATTGGTGATCCCAGTAGGATTTTCAATTCGTGTCATTCAACGTTAAATTTAAACACATTATCACTGAAGTAAATGAGATGCAATCGCACTTTTCTAGAACAAGGAGAATAAAGATAGCAAAATGTATGTATTGGAAATTATTTAAAACTAGATTATTCTGTCTGGATATTCATACAAAAATATCAAAGAGTTTATAGTGTTGCAAACTATCTTTTTTAATGGTAAGGCGGTTAAGCTGCAAATTGATATGGGTCTGACATAACATTAATTTATAGAGAGACTTGTATAAAACTCGGTCGACCTCAATACCAACCTACACATTCTAATGCTAGGAGTGCGACAGGAACTAACATCACTCTTCTTGGAGAAATGAAGCTACCTCCCACATTCGGTGGCAAGACTATGACCGGCAAATGCTAAGCATCTGGAAACTGTGATACCAACTTATTAGGTATTGGTTGGATAGATAAATGTGGTTTGTGGGACCTGACGTTGAACACTGTCTGCAATATGATTAATTAGCTCAGCGAAGAATTCTCTTTTCGGCGAATTCATTTTCAAAGCTGTACAATCGCAAATATCTATACTTATTTTACAGGATGATAATAATTCTGATAATAACCTTCTGTTAAGCATGGTGACAGTGAGGTTAAATAAACGAAGATATTAAAATAAAAAATTTTTAAAACAAAGAAAGTTTAATAATCGTTTGATTGTTATTGGCTTAGGTATTCATCAAAAGATAGATAAGGAAATTATTATTGGGAAAGGATGGCTCAGAATAATAAAATAAAATGTTGAAATAGAGATGAAATGTAATCGGAATGGTCGTGGAAATAAAAACAAACCAGTTGGGGGTAGAAGATTTAAAGGAAGATGGAAGGTGAAGCAGATGGCTGTAAAGAAACAAGAGTATGAAAAAGAGAGAAGAAAAATTTTAATACATTAAGACCATGGTAGAAGGAGAGGTTGTACCAGTCTCTTTTGCACACGCGATTCCGGTTTTTCCAGATGTATGGCTATTGCCTCGGCAATGCAAAGATGATGCAGTCTAGTTGTCTTCAGAAGACTTCTACTTACCTTGTAGATGACTTTGAACGCAGAGTCTGTCTTGATTGAGTGACCTGTGTTCACAAGGTGTTCGACTATAGAACTTCTTATTGAGCCGTTGCCTACTCTTTTTAGCCACGCCGGATAATGTCCTTGAATTCTTTTGGATAAAGTACGCATCAAACGACCTATATACCTAGCTCCACTAGAGCAGGTAAATTGGTAAATGCACATAGAGTTGTTCAGATGCGATAATTTATCTTTCAGATTATTGATGAACATTGATCGGCTGAAGAATAATATTCTCAAAGTTGCTGTGAAGAATGTTCTTTTTAAGGAATCAGAAATTCTCCTCTTTAAGATATATATGGCTCTGTCACGTTTAAAGTCGATGTTCATGTATAAAGTTTTGTTTTCTACTGTGATTATTTGTGTTTTTGGCGTTTTCGGATTCATATTCTTATCAATGAATATCGAAGGATACCCGTTTTTGATAAGTATCTCTTTTAAAAGACCCAATTCTTCGTCTACGATCTCGGGACTACAGATTCTTCGTATTCTTGTACGTATATTTTGTACAATCGTTGATCAAAACAGAAAAACAGAGAGATGCAGTGAAGAAAGCGAAGAGAAGTGAGCGAAGCGAAATGACACACAGTGGAGAACGCGTGTGACCCATCCCGATTTAATCAAGCGTTAATCAATATTTATAACCAGATAAAATAAGCTACAGACGTGCGATTAGTAGGATAAGATGTACACACATACGCTCATCTAAAGACAGCCAAAGTCAAAATGTAACTTAAGAAGAATGGATAAACTGGTTTATCTATAAGCTAGAATGAGCTATGTAGGCTCGACATAGAACCAGACACTACAATTTCCTATGGGATACTTTGATCAGAATTGAAAATATGTCCCAATATTTGTCTAAGGTTTATTTGACATTCTTTTTCGAAAGCCACGTAGCGTGAGGCTTGGAGACGCGTTTATAAAGATCTAACTTTCTGCAGCCAGTATAATGTACTCCATATTGGTAATTAAACTTGTAAAAAACAGATTGATGCGGACCAAGTAAGTAGTATATGGCTTATACATCCACAAATGATAGGACAAAAGGAGAAGTTTAACAGCATGAAATGCCTCTTGAAAGATTTCGTCAGCATATTTTTAATTAATCATAATTAACTATGATTTTCAGCAACTATTTTGGCGGTAAGACTCACAAACAGGATTGGATTATGGTCCCTCTCTGTCATTATTTACAAATTTTAACGATCTCCACGAATACTGCACTATAAAATGATGTGATTGACCATTTGCTTCGGTTGGAATTATTACACAAAACATTTGTGTATACATTACAAACCTACAACAAAATTGATATCTTATAAGAACTTTCGCTCAAAATTGGATAAATCGTTTCACAATAGTTGGGCCCCGGTTGTACGGAAGACGTTAGGAAGGGAATTATATTTTTAAAAATCTCAGTGACTAAAATTTGAGACAAATATAGCATTTTGTTTAGGATTCTGATTTGAGCCCTCTCAAGGAAACAATCAAATTCAAATGTTTTGAATATACATAGGGTCTATGAAAAGTAACTGTGTACTAAATAGATGGTTTGATCACGTCTAAATAGTGATTTTGAAACTTATCATTTCAATTTTCAGTTTTGATTCTCAATATAAAGCTATCCCCAAAGTCCCATTTAGTCTCTCTCCCATACTAGAGTGTGGATTAATAATATTGAATTGCGGTTTTGTGTCATTCGATATGAAGTTAAGTTCATACTAAATTGTTTCCGTATTAGAATAATCTTATTCATTCGTAACATAGCAATTACCATGTGTTCAACCTAACCTCATTAACAATCGTAACCATTTATTGAGATTAAACAGGTGAATATTCGGTTTAATTGATTGAGTAATTTGTAAGTTTTGTCATGTTTTACTAATATTTTCCACGTTTCTGGAAAACGTTTCACGTAACATTTATAACTATGAATTTTTAACAAAATCATGGGTTGTTAACAACTACTTATACATAATAAACGTTTTGTGACTAGCCTCAGAACAGTGTTTTACCCATAAGAAAAGATGGTAATTAAAAACTGAAGGCATATGAAATGAGAAACGAAGAGAGATATTTTTTATCAAACTACCAAGCGTAGACAGTCCATGTGGAACAAATGCAATACATTTTTATTGACCACTAGGTAAATATTGATTTATCACTATTCGGTCATTTGTTTTTTCTATTGAAGTCAATTTACCAAGTATCCTTTACAATGAAATCAAACAATCGACCTTTACCTGGAAATGGTCTTTTCTTTTTAAATCCAAAAGTTAGGTTAAAGCAGTGTCGAAAAATTAGTCGATCAAATGCATTAAAACTTTGTATGCCTAAAATGTATACACGTCTTAGTTTGTCTTAGATGTCTTATTAAAACAATTTCAATTTGTATTCCGACATGCACGAGGTTATTATGCTTTCGACCCATGACTATCGAGTTTTGATCAGTACTGAAAAGGAGAATATGAACGTAATTTATTTCCAGTGATTATCTTAAATGGAATTCAAATAAAATGGATGTCATTTAGTTTGAGGATATATTTGGTACAATACTAGTATTTTATGAGACAAACAATGAATAATAATATGAGTATCAACGCGAAGGTTGGACTTGATAGTTTTAAATAAATTAAATTAATAATAAATGTATTTTTTGTCATATCTCAATGAGTAGGTTTTATTACTGACGTTTCGTGACCTAATGTAAGCCACTTCTTCGGGATAAATAGACAACCTTTGTATTATTTAAACTTGTGTTAATTTTATTTCGATTATTTATTTACTCTGAAAAAGTGGCTTACATTAAGTCAGGAAATGTCAGAAATACAATTATTTACTCATGGGAATATAACAAAAATGTATTTATTATTTATGAATGATAATCTTTTTTCACAGTTTTTAGCGCATTACGAATTTGTTCAATTCACACTGAATTCATCTAGGATTTGTATTTTGTTTTAATCAACAATCTTTTTTCAAAAAAGTTAAATTTGGTGTTTATATGTATATATATATATAAGTAGTTATATTACATCTATTTTTGTTTATTAATTTTTTTAAAACTAGTTTTATTCATTCTTACTATATGTTAATTTTTTCTAAAAAGGAAGCATTTTGGGAGAAGAAGCTCTGGAAAACTTGAAATACATAATCGGAATTATAAATAAAATAACTTGTAAAGTAGTGATTACATTTGGAACAAACTAATGACTGAGATAAAGAAACCATGAGATTAAATCTTGGTTCCATGAATTGAAATTTTCTCGAAAAGGGGACAATGAAAGATAATGTCACGGATGGTACCACTGACAGTAAATTGAAAGTGTTGTGTTCAATGAGTTGTATGACTTAGTTATAAACTTTTCAGTGTCTTTCTGGACAATAACATCAGCACATACTTTTGAAACAAGTTACACATTATAGAAGAATTTAATGATGAATAAAGCATCCAGTTCAATTGTACACATCACTCTAAATCTTCCTTCTGAGCTTGAAATTTTCTTCGTCATCACTAGGAGTAAATTCGTTACGACAAAACATTAACCAACACTTAATTCGTAACAATTTCCGCTTGAATTTAAGCAGTGATAACTGCAAAATAAAGTCCTTAACGGATATAATACTTCTGGAGATGCTTTGTTCAACTGAGATTTTTTAGAGATAATCTATATTTTTTAGGAAAAGAAAGTGAAAGTAAAACAAAGAAACAAAGTTGTAAAACACCCTGACTTATATCAATTTGAAATGGATTATTAATAAGAAATAGCTTAATTAGATATTAAAAATTTAAGCTATTGACAACTGAAGTAAATATCTCCGTACTTCTGTTTTTAATCCATAATGTTACGTCATCTGAGTGATCTTACAAGAAAGTTTATCACATTGTCCCATCAATCCATGTGAATTATGCAAGCGCTTATCAATTATAACTTTAAATCTGTTAAAGCCCATTAAGTAAAGCTGTATTTTTTGCTAAGCGAAAAATTTCCACAGCCATAGGTAAAGCGGTTTCTCGCAGCTAACTGAGAACTAGTTTACATGAAGTTTGGAACTGTGCTTAATATTCTGAAGGTGTAAAGCATCACATTCATTGTGAAACGTGTTGGTTTCGAGTCTAATTTTGTGTTTTGACGAGTGCGTATTGTTGAGGAGTCGAAAACAAAATAGAATTGGTGCCTATTGCCCACTTTATTTTCAACCGTATTTCAGCTAATATTCTTTTCGTGATGGGAACTATTTTCAAACTATGATAATTTCTACAAATAAAACTAACCAAAGAAAATTTTTGTTCTGCTAGATTTATAAAGTAGTTATGCGGTTCTGTAAATAACAGTATTAAATATAACTGATATTTCATAAAATATATATTTAGTATGTCTATGATAAGTAATTATATATATCACTTGAGGGTCGTTCACGGAATCAGTCAGTGAGTAAACTTTTAACCAGTCCAAATTTAACTACTAATCATATTATCTGAGACTGTCCTTGGTAGCCTTTGAGATCAATATCAAGATGTCAATTTAAACAAAATTCATTTTGCTAAAATAACGAAACCATATACTAATTCGATCATACATATATGCCGAATTCTACGTCATACCATAAAGTCTATCGAAAAAATTCTATTTAACAAAATTTCAAATCCATCATAATTCTGTAAGAGAAGTAGTTGGAGGCAGCGGGGAAATTCCTGAATCTAGTTTTCGTGTTGGTTAGGAATCATCGGCAAGAAATATCTTCAATATTTAGAGAACTCATATTCTCAGTGGGATTATAAATCATTTCACGCAGTTTCAAAACTTGTGTACTTACTACACACATATCCATGTTGTGACTAGCTCAAGTCGGAATCACACTGGAAGAATCACTTTCCTCAAGATCGAAAGTACAGCTTGCTTATGAGCGTCAACTAGCACGAAAACGGAGATTTAGAGTTTCTTGTCGATTATCATCAACCCCCTTACATCAAAATACAGTGTAAACAGTGTTAAGTCACTTAGACCAGTGACCAGTGATCTCGTATCTGTTATGGTTCACATTCGCTTTTGACCACGAACTACATCAGTGTGTACTTCTTGCAATTTCTCAACATCGACTATCCTAGATCGCAAAGAAAGTTGTTTAGATAATTGATATGAATGAACTGATTACATTAAAACCTACTAATTCTTTACGATTGGCAAATCGGACACTTTCTAACCACCAAGTTACAAATGGGTTTTTACATAGAGCACAAAATCCAGCTGTTTGCCATTGTTTTGATCCTATAATACTTTCTAACCAAGGATTGCTAACACCAATACTAAAAATATGAATAATACATTTTAGATAAAGTTCAATATTACTCAATAAATCCTAAATGGGATAATTTTCGTAAGACAATTTCCTATATGAAAAAAGTTTTGCATCAAAATAAAGGGAATATCAAACAGTCTACTTTCAATGTTAAAACATTTTCTTTATACGTTGAAGTAAATAAATCGTTTCGTGTGAATGGATTAGCTTCAGCGTAGAATTCTTTTAATTTCAACTGTGTAAACTGGAATTATAGAAAAACAAAACAATTTATTCAGACTGAACTTTGATTGAAGATTATTTGGGTTTGAAGTTAGCATTTATTATCATCAACCGACGTCATCTGGAGAATGATTAAGAACAAGTATATATGTGACAATTACTTCGTTGTCGGACTACTTAGAATTGTAGATTAATAACTCTACATAAAATCAAATCTAGGACATTCCGGGTTATGGAGAGCACAGTGCTTTCAAACCAGTGCAACGATTCATATTACCAACTTTTATCATTCCTCACTGAATGATGTTAAAGTAAAATTTTAGATTGACATAAGTTGAAAATTACTACCGTTTACTTCGACTTAGTCGTGAGAATAAATAGTGATTGTTCTGGATTTGATCCTATGATGCGTCATGGATTTAGACTTCGTAGAAGTTCAGTACTAAGATGAAACAGATATACTAATCTCGCTAACTGTTTGTAATTCTACAGCAGTTGTTGAATAGTAATAAAAGCGAATTTCATCATAAAGTGTAGTCTCATAAAATAACCCCCATTTTATAAAGTGACTTACGTTGGATGGTAAAAGTTGTAAGTTATTACCAGCTAAGTCTAAAACTGTTAGTGATTTCAGTTGCCCGAATGTCTAAAATCCAAATTCTCTAAATAAATATCACATTACTTACCTCAGGTAATCGTGTTAAAAAGTTCTTATGTAAAAGAAGTGTTTTCATATTTTGTAGTAGACCAAAATTAAATGGCAATGTCAAAATATGATTATAACCTAGATTTAAATATTCTAATTTGTTGAGCATTGAACACATTGACTCTGGTAGTGTCGTCAATTTATTATGAGAACTCGACAAGTATTTCAAATGGGCTAAACTAAACAAAGTAAATTAATGATATTTTTTATACTTGGATATTGAGTCATTTAGTGCATTAATGCAATTATGATTGAAATTTAGGTATTCAAGATTAACCAACCGTTCTATAGAAAATTTAAGTTATTTAGTAGATATCAACTACCGAAAATTGTACTTGGAATAGATTGAAGTTGATTGCTATACATACTGATTGATTTGAGTGACGTCAATTCAAATACAGAATTAGGTATTGTTGTAAACCAGTTGTGACCTAAATTAATCGATTGTAGCTGATAAATAAATTAATAGAGAATATTAAACAATGAAAGGGACAAACTCACATGTTTTGGTAGAATTGGCAGATCAGATAAATTATTTGAACGTAGATCTAATATTACAAGCCAGTTAAGAAATTCAATGTTGTATGGTAAATGATAAAGTTTTTTATTACTTAAACTCAAACGTTTTTGTTGAGTTGTGATTGCGCGTAAAACAATTAAATCAACATTTTTCATGTCTATTTGAATAAACAAAACCATACCATCATTTAACGTACATTGAAACAGTATTTACAAAATCGTGAATTCACATGCTAGCTATTTGAGACAGTTTCAAATGTTATGCAATAATGATTATTTAATTAGGTTTAGCCATTATTTTCTCCTCATTTGAAATTGTCACAAATAAGAAATGCTATGAGACCAACTTAGTTGGTAAGAGTTTAAACTTTATAATAATTTCTGAATTGAGCATTTCATCTGATACTCGAAACACTTGATAATGAAAGGTGATGTGGTATTTGTATGAACTGATGATTCCTTTGTACTTGATGACTGCTTGATTCCAAATTCCAAATGCAATACTTTCGCTCGTGAACAAGGAAGATGTTGACGATGTTAATATTGATCGGAAAAGAAGCATATAGCTTAATAAAAACTTTGGCATTTCCAGACAAGCCAATTCCGCTCCCTTATACAACTCTCAAGTAACTACTACCAGACCATGTAAAGTGTACAAATTTCGAATTCAGTAAAGGAGAAAAATTTCATAAAACGATTCATCAAGACATCAGGAATCTCACTACTTTAATACTTCGTCCCAGTCCAAAGCGTAATCTATGTTATTCATATAACGATTCATTGAGAAGTTGCGAATCAGGTCACGAAGATGAGCGCAAGTTTGGTAAATGCGTGTTCTGTGACAAGTTTCACCCATGTAATTCATGTGCGTTTTGTAATTCTAAATGCTTTAAATGTGGTGAGATTGGACACATTCAGTCGGTTTGTGATGCTACGGTTCACTTGACTGCAACTAATGCTAAAATTTGTAATTGCGATCCCATTAATTTGGGTGTTACTAATGATCATTCATCTTTATCCACACTTCGAAAAGCGGTATAGAGTCACATGGCAGTCCAGAGTCAGATGAAACTCAGAATCATTGTGTTTCTAATCAACCAACTTATCAGATTTATCATGTTATTGTACCGGATATGGTTTTTCCCTAATGATTCACATATTTCTGACTAAATTTCTTACAAATCTGAGGAAAATACGTTGAATGAATCATATCATGATCGAAAACCTGATGCGGATTTGATAGATGCTGATTTTTGTAATGATCGATAATTGTTTAATGAAATTCTTAAATTTGAGGAAAATATTTTACAAAAATCAAATTCTGATGTCATATCAAATGTCATTTGTCCTCACAATGGATTTATCTCTAGTGATATCCCTAATGAATGTGACAAATATGTTCCGAATGAGTCGAATTCTAGTCACATTCCTGATGTTATTGTATCAGATGTTGGATATTCTCGCAGCCAATGTGTGTTGAGCAGAATCCCTAGTCAGTGGTTTGATGAATCAGAGGAAATAGCAAGTTTTCCTGAAGTAGTCAGAGAACCAGTTTCCTCAGATATGTAATAATGTAATAATTGAAGTGTGAGATATTTGAAGATAATTCAAATTAGGAACGTCAAATTGTTCATAACATTGTGACGTAAGAACCCAACATTATTTCGTGGAGGAGGATAGTGTTGGAAAGTCTATCATGCAATTTCTGGATATCTGTGGTTTCACTACACAACCGACATGGTGATTGTATACAATTCCAGGACACAGACGAGTCCGTTCGAATTTCAGTTATTAACTCTAATACTAATGAGTACATTCTAGGTAGTGTAGAGTCTATGTCCAATACACTGCTGAACAGACATTGGATGAAATTAAGAAGACGTACAATCAGTTACAGAAACTTAGATTCAATTTAAGATGTGGCGGATGTGCTGTTTGTATGAACTAACGATTCCTTTGCAATTGATGACTGTTTGATTCCGAATTATAAATACAATACGTTTGTTCGTGCTCATATAGTTCTTCTTAGTTATTTCTGGGATTCTTAGTTTGTACTAATATTTTAACTACTCCTAATCATCACAAATGGTATTTGATATTAATATGAATAAGGAATGGTTTAATTATTACTTACTTACTTTAAGTTGCATCTAACGTATTGACGTTACTATTAAATGATTATTCACTAGTTTTATAAATTTCAATAAATCAGTTTATTGATACTCACTGGTTAGTCGATAAACGACCTTAACCTTGTGATTATTGGAGACACATTTAGCTGGATATTTTAAAGTGCTGAACTTAATTTTTATTGATACTAGGTGAAGAGGGTATATCTCAATAAATAATGTTGGTAATAAAATATTTACTAAAAGTGGTATCTAACAGCAACGTGTTTGATAGTAGTTATAGATGGTTGTGTGTAGTTTAATAATTAAACTAGGATGCAATCCCTGTCCACTATTTCCTAGTTTCAAATGTTTTCTTTTATAATTTGAATTCGATTTGAGGTGCAAAGGCTTTTTTGGGGATTACTTATGGAAACGTTCTCGACTTTCTTCGTATAATTGCACATATGTAAATATAAATAGCCTTACTAGACAAAGAGTGTAATTAAAATACCAAGTCTTAAGTTAAACGAAAGACACCTGCAGTAGTCCTCGTATATTTCTATGCAATCTATTTTAATAAACAACTTTATCCATTGACTCAGTCATTTTATCATGGCCAGGAAGTCTATGACCCTCCTGCGTGCCCGAGTTATCTGTGGTCTTGTTGACTATGTCCGTGTATTTTTTGTGTGCTTGGTCCGTATGTTTTCTAGCAAGACCTTTTCTACAGCACTGGGTTGCCAACCCCACGCTCAACCCTCCTCCTTTACCCTAGCTTGTGACCGGCAGAGAAGACCAACTAGACTGTTTTGTAGCAGTTGAATGTTGAAGATGATAATAATAAACATAAGTGGTGAGGATTAGATATTTTTTAATCGACACAAAATTACAGGACTTGTTAATAAAATCTAACAATCATAAAGTAGATGCTTAATTTGCAAAATGTCCACCAATTGTCTCAAAATGACTCAAACTTCATTGTTCTTGTATTTTCATACAAATTGCATCCTGTTTCCATTCTTTACTGTTCGATCCTCTTTTCTCCCTGCTGCCAGACCTTCTGTTCACGACTAACATCATATACTACTTGTGTCAATATAAGTAGCACACACCACACTATATAGTGTAGCATAGTATAGTATTGTTTTGTATTGTGTGTTGACAGACTTCAGTATTTCATAATATTTGAGTGCATATTAAAAGAAAACTCCGGTTTTAATATTAAAGTGAATGACACATTTGATTGCTGGGGCTTTCATGTCATACAGTATTGGAAATTATGATGAATAAATATAGAATGTCGGGAACTTCCATAGAAAACTGTGCAAACAGAACAAACGCGGGTGTGCGTATGTAATGTTATTGTGTCAACAAAACGATTTTCACTAGACTTCATACCGTATTTTTTATTGCTTCATAGAAAACGTCCAAGAAAGTACACAGCATTGTATAGTCTCTTTACGTAAGCACTTATTGTGTTCATAGATTATGGAAAACTGCAGTCGGAATCGACAATACCAGAGTGTTCGTTGGGGCTGTTTACCCTACCCACTCTTATTTGGCTTCGTTATAAACATCTTTTCGGAGACAGCGCTCTCATTGTTTGTATTTTTAGAGACTAATGTTCCACCAGATGACTCACTTGTTGAATTGCAACACACAGATGAGATAACCTTATTCGACAAAGTCTTACAAAATTCAGGGTCTCTCGATCAGTTCGAATAACACTGGTTAAATACTTAGGGCGCGTTTTTCTCTCTAAATGCGTAATATTATTACAAGAATAATTTGCGTCAACACCAGAACTATAAATAGGGAGTGAAATGGCTGAATAAATGTACCACATGTGGCTTTTACAAAAAATTATTATCAGTTTCGTCATGACTGGGCGCCTAGTTCCAATCAAAACACAATACTTTAGTGTGTTCATTGTCTGTGAGATGTCACTGAGTCTGGTCAAGTCATACACCAGGCTAAGGCATTTCTAAGATGGGTGATGGATCACTGAACGCCGAACTGGATACTGGACATCATCATGACCAACGGAGATTATTCGTTGGCACGTCATGGACTGAGGCATGGAGCATTTGTCCAACTCTGTATTTCTACAATCTATTTTCATAATACATGATGTTGTCCCTGTTAGGCTACTTATTATAATATGTCACCAAGTGAGACGGTTGACATGTATCCCACTTTAGGATAAGCTTGGTTAAATTTCAACCACAAAGTGCGACTTCGAAGTAAACTAGGAGGAAACACCATACCCGACTAGACCAAGTAAACGGATCATCAATACAGGTTACCTACATTCACGATCTACATGTGCTTGTAGCAACCAAAGTTTTTGTAGGACCAGCAAAATGTCATTGCGTTCTAACCGAATCATGCGGCAGTCGGGTCACTGAATATCAAACAGTTCACCTATCCTCATCAAGGTCAAATACAACCCGTGTGCATCAGTTAATTGTATGTCATGAACTGGCCCATGCAGCAGTGGTCGCACTCCGCTCCTTGTAATACTCATATTAATATATTTCTGTAATACCGTCGTTTGTGTTGTACGTTTATGAAAGTAGCCATAGTACCTGGATACAATGAAGGTGTAATCCGCGTTAGGTGCTAACCATGAGGTATGACTTCGACGTTAGCTGATTGGTCTAACTTGAGTTAGCCTCCAATCATTCAACATCGATCACCTACGTTGATAGTCTAAAGTTTCTTCGAAGTACTGCTTGGGTATTTCGGGACCAAATCGTGGTCTATTTTGCAGTCAAACTTATCAGATTTCTCATGTTAGTTCACCAGATATCAGTTGTCTTAATGATGCACATATTTCTGATGAACTTTCCTATAAAAGTGAGGAAGATATGCCGAATGAATCAAATCATGAACACAAATCTGATAGGATTTTGTTAGATGCTGGTTTTCCTAATGATCCATTATTCACCAATGAAACTCTTAATGAATTTGAGTAAAATATTCCAGAAGTACCAAATCCTAACGATTTCATACCAAATGTTATTTGTTCTCATGATGCATTTG